ACACTAATTATACTGTAATGGACCTGAAAGTGTTAACAATTAAATACTTCGCCGACAAACATAATTGTTGGAATTGTTCTAAATATGAGATGATAATGTATCTATGTATTACAAAAATTCTGTCACAACCAGATATTTAAACGTACGAACAAAGTACCTTTTGCTTTTTAGTAGACGTTTCCTATATATGTGAAGTGTCGGATAAAAGTCTTGTTACACATTTCGGTCTCGCTCCCATCCGCTCAGTGTGTAACGCACGATAAGAAACTTCGTACCACAAAACAAAGTGAGAGGTCTATGGACCCTCGGTCGGAACGAAGTACCTTTCTCTTTTTGGTAGACGTTTGATATATATTTATATGAAAAAGATGTGAGAGTCGACGCGCCAACTGAAGTGTCGGATAAAAATCTTGTTACACCTTTTTCAATCTCGCTGCCGCTCAGAGCGTGTTAAGGAACTTCGTTCCAATATATCATCTACTTAAATACATATAAATCACGTCTTTTCTTTTTTTTTCGTTTCGTGAGGGTATTTTGCGAAAAGCATTAATATAATAATAATAACCTCAAACTAAGCAGAGCCTGTACTATGGTAACCAGACTGCTGAAAGATGATATATTTATAAACAGTTTCTGCCCGTGTCTCCGCCCGTGTGTATGTATGTCGTTTATCGCGGAAAAAAGTGCGCCATGTCCGTCCTTCCTTATTAAAGTATCTCCATGCCTATTGAAATCGGTTCAGCGGTTTAGCCTTGAACGTGTAACAGACAGACAGACAGACATAGTTATTTTCGCATTTATTAATATTAGTAGGAATTTACTATTCAGAGATTTACTATTTTACGTTAAAGCTATTTAGTAACTGACTACACTTATTTTCTCTTAGTTTCTTTTTACGTTTATCAAATATATGGAATCTTTTATTCATAGATTGTTATAAAATGTTCCATTGTTATAGATGAGGATAATTGCATTTTAATGTTTTATCGTTGTAACGATTCGTAATTCTTTGAAAACATAATTTCTATTATAAAGCCCAAGCACGTTTTTTAACGTTTTTGAGTTTCATGTTTTTGTACGCGAGCAGAACGGCACACTGTGACGTCATCAAACCTGTTAAAAGCCGTTCGCACTGCTTCATACCAGTTTACACCAGTTCGTAAGGGCCAGTGAACTTAAAGTGTGCTCCTTATTTCATTATTTAAGTATTTTTAAGTTCAAGTGTCCAAAACTAACTAAATTTTATTTTACGTGAAAAAATACTCCTAACCTACGTAGTCAATCAATATTTATGTGTAAAAAAATTGTTTTACAACGGCCATTTTTATTAAACCGCGCATTGCTTACGTCAAAAGTAGTGTAAAAAGTAGTGAAAATGTTATTTCCTTTTCTTTAGTGGTCGTCAGAAAGAGATAGGGCTAGAATTATTTTAGTTAAATATAGAAATGACTGGGTACAAATGTGTGATGATCAATTTATTTGTCGGAAGAGAAATGCCAGTGTCTGTGTGTAATGTTATGTGGATATTGTAAATATGTGTAGATGTGTAGGTAAATATAATGTATGTGTGTGCATTTATAAGTTTATGTATGTAGTGAACTGCGTTTATACATGTTAATTGATTTAAAAACATTATATATTTTGATTGATTACTTATGTAACTTCTGTCCAACGTTATACGATTTCTACACCACCAAATGTTGGCGCAAAGAGAATTACTAGGGCTGTAAGTCCGCCATTGTGCAAAAGTGCACAAAGTTATAAATAAAAAATAATACATTATTATTTAATTAAACATTATAATTTAGTCATTACTCTTAGTGCCTAGGCCTAGTGCTTCGTGACCCTGACTGCTAAGCCGGACTGGGTTCGATTCCCACCGAGAACAAATATTGTGTGATGAAAACGATCATTTGATCCGTATCTGGGTGTCATTTATAAATTTAATATGTATATACCTATTTAAAATATATAAGTATGTTTATCAGCAGTCTAGTTACCATAGTACAGGCTCTGTCTAGTTTAGCGTAGTGGTTTAAGCGGTCACCACGCCTCTTACTACTACGCTGAGTGTTTTGGGTCCGATCTCCACATGGGACATCACTTTGTGTGATCCACAAATTGTTGTTCTGAGTCTGGGTGTTCTTTGTGTCCGTTTCATTTATGTTTGTAAAGTCCCCCGCGACACAGGATTTGTTCCTAGTCCGGGAGTTGTCTTTTAAAAAAAAGGAAAAAAAAAGAAATACTGTCGTGTTTAAGATCTGTAAAGCTATTGTTACTATTTATTACTAAATATCTAACTTACTAAACAAATCTTGAACGACAATTTTAACCAACTAAATAAAATATGTAGTTGGGATGACAATAATATCATTTTGCATATTGGAATTGATCATTTCATAAAACTATAGAGTGGCTACTGAAATTTTGGAGTTTCCACTGCTGGACATAGGCCTCTCCTTAGAAAGGAGGTTTTGGCCCACTATACCACCCTGGCCAGACGGGTTAGTATAGGGTTTGTTATAAGTTTTCCTTCTTTTTGCAGTGCTGTAGTCCTGCGTAGTTTGCTCCCTTAGTCGGCTCTTACGACACCCGTCACACCGACACCTTAATCCGTCATCACACTCCTGTATTACTATACCTATTGTTATTTTTTTTTTGCTATATGCACTATGTACATGTCACCGGAAAATAACAAGAAACACAAATGTATAAATTTCCTATGAAATTTATAAGCCTTCGTAGGATTCTAAACGTGAGAAAACTAACCTAACTAAGGGTTGGGGGGTAATGAGCGAGCCGACCAGCTCGCCAAGGAGGCGGCTTTGGGACTGAAGAAAGCACCGGACTAGAGTTCGGTAAGTTTACCAATTTGCGAAAATGTTGGCGTAAAATAATACAATTTAAATCTCGTTTAGAATCCTACGAAGGTTTATAAACTTCCTAGGAAATTTATACATTTGCGGTTCTTGTTATTTTCTAACACAAAGGTACCTTTTAATCCATTGCTTTATTAAACAAGTTTTAGCTTGTTATGAAGCACAGCTTTATATTATTAGTACAAATATTTCGTTGTATCGTTCCTATTTAGTGGATACTCGTGGGAGCGATAACTCGATGCAACAATATGAGCCATTTATGTTTTGTAAATATTGTCAGTGTGTTATTACCTGTTCAGACATGGAACAGACTTGTTCTAGATTAGGAAACTTTGCGTACATAACAGGGTTCTTAAGGCCTAGTTTGAGTATATTTTACATCAATCTGATCATCGCGGTAACCGATTGGCGATTGGCCTGCACTGAACACTTCACCAATCGTAACGCCGCCGTACTGGTGCCAAACCGGTACAAAACATTTAAAACTGGCTACAGCCTACAATTATTAACCGATTTTCAAATATTTTTTTAACGGAATCTCAAGAATATTTATAAGAATCGCTCGGAGTCCGATTTTTTATTCAGGTGTTCAATTTTTTTAACATAACCTTAAAAGTATAAATATCATGTTTTTTTCTAAAAAATCAATAGGTTATTTACAATAATACAGAGTGAGACAACGGCCTCACAGAAAACCAATCAAGTCTTTCGGTGATTTCACCGAATAGGATAAGATACTGGAGCCCAAACTTGATTTCGAGGAATTAAAAGGTGACATCGCGCTTGTCTCTCTTGAGTTGCTAATGTCCATGGGTGGAGGTTGGAGGGTAAAAACAAACTCAGTGCAAGTTGAAACTTGTTGTCTTATTAAAGTTATGGACGTCACTGTCATTTCAAATTAACAAACACTATATTTGTCTCAGTTACTGCTAAAACAAATGTGTTTAACAGTAACTGAGAAAAAAACTGCGCGTCTGTTTTCATATCCGTATCCGTGGATCAAGATACTAATACCAACGTGTATCTAACTGTTAAATGTCCAATAACAAAAAACAATTGTTAGTTTTCTTCTTTTGTATAGAAAAACTGTCAAAACAGTGCATGTTATATTTGCCTATAAGTACTTGTTACACTTTACTTAATATTATCAGTTTCTGAAATTTTGGTATAGAAATAAAACCGCTCCTCCCCTTAATTCTATGAGAAGTATTTAAAGAACATCATTAATAGATATTTATAAGAGTGAAAGTATCTAACTGCTTTTTATATCATGCCAAATAAATCCTGTCTGTCGAAATTTTTCCTATCTACTGATAGTGGCCCTGAGTCGTTTGTAAGCCATTATATGTTTTTTTTCATCCGTGTGGTGATGAATTAAGAATACAGAGTGTCACCACCCCTAATCATCCCGTGGGTGTCGTAAGAGCGAACTATGGGAGCAAACTACTCAAGACAATAGCACTGCAAAGAGAAGGAAAACTTGATACAAACCCCATACCAATCCGTCTGGCCAGCGTGGTATAGTAGGCCAAAACCTCCTTACTAAGGAGCGACCTATGTCCAGTAGTGAACTCTTAAAGGCTGTTGATGATATTTTATTGACGGTAAGATATCGGGGGAATAAAGAAATGTGTAGTTCATTTACCGAAGTGAATATAGAAGAAGACAGTTCTAGCTCTCGTTTTCTACAGCTCCTTTTCTTAGCTTGGTGATACTAATCTATTTGTCTTTTGGACATACAGTATGTCTTTTTATAGATGTAATAACTGTCTTTGATGTTATTGGCCTTCCCTTTTGTAGATATTATTTGTATTTTACTGTCTGTCTTTGCCAGACATCTTGGCTGCCTTTTTCTAAAGACACTCTCTGTTTTTTTGCGTCCATGTCCTGCGCGGTTATTTAGCGTCGTAGGTGTTAACTCAATTTGAAACTTAGATAAAGTGTATAAAAATGTCTGTTGAAATGTAATATGTCTGAATAAGATCTTGTTACATGGTTTAAAACCTATAACAACAAAACATTGTTCTGTGTTGTGTTGCTAGTAATAAATAATTAACTGTAACCCAGTGAAAAAGACTGAAAAACTTTTTATAAAAACTGTGCAAAAATAAAACAAGCAAAATGAATGATATGTTCAAAAGAATTAAAGTGTTTGGTAAAAAGGAGAACAGAGGTAGTCTATATTCTATGGTATCCTGCAGTGATCTGACTCCGGGCAGCGTGGAAATATGGCTCGATCTACCGGATGAGATCAAGTATGATCCCTTACTGGCACCCTTCAAGCAACGATACGAGCAACAACATGGTACGTTGAAGAATTTACTATTGACAATTAAGTAAGAAAAACATTTCTTTCGTTACTGTTGTAGCTTTAGACGAGACGTCGACGTCATCAATAAAACAAAATAGAAACAGTTTTTCTTGATTTTCAATATAGCTTTAGAGCTTCCACGCACTGATATTAAGACTTTCTTTTATTTTGTTACTGTCAAATATCTGTATCATTGCATATTAGATTCGAAATAAGTTAACTTAAAAATAACGAAAAAGTAACCAAATGAACTTAATACTGCCGTATTTTTAAATAACAGGTAAAATTGAAGCTGTAGATGTGCCAAATGAAGGTGACAAAACTATATTCGATAAAAAACAGGAGAAACAAGATACAGAAGTGAAGAAAGATGAAGCCAGCGAAGTTTTGAAAGATGCTTCGAACAAGTAAGAATTGGCTGTTTATTTTAAGTTATGTGCGTGGAGCAGAAATTGCGACGCTTTACTTTTGCTTTTTTGTGTCATTATTTTTCTTCACAAGAAACATATATCACACATACACTCACGCCTTTTATCCAAGAAGGGGTAGACGGAGATTATATTTTAGAAGTTATGTTTCTAAAGGTGCTATGCCAGAGGTCGTGGGTCCGATTCCCACATAGGACAAATATTGTGTGAGGCGCATGATCTCCACATTTGGCTGTAAATAATTTACTTAATTTTTAAGGAAAAGTTGGTTGACAAAATCAAAATAAACTCAGCCGCGAATATAAGATTATCTTTTAATTAAATAAAATTATCTTTTGCAGGTTGTTAGCTCCAATGCACCAGGACCATGATAACACCAAACTGAAGTCCACTAAAAGGAAAAAAGTAGGTTACAGGTTTCTTCCTAGTTGATCTTGACACTACGAGTATTTTTACACTTAAATTTAAAAAAATTTAATGTGCCTCGAGTGTGTTTATTTTTATAATTAGTAACTTGTTAAAAGGTATAAAAAATTCAAAGTCGAATGTTTCTTGTATTAGTTTTTGCTTGAAAGAAATGAAATGAAACGAAATGAAATTTTGCCCAAATGATAGGTGTATAGACAGTGATATACGGTACCTTTCAACCAGAAAAAAAACAGTGCCACTCCAGGAGTGCCGACAGAAATGAAAATTTTTTTTTTGATTATAATGAAAAAAGTTTGGTTTTTCGATTCGAAATGAGCAGACACGAATATATATCTATGTTGTACGTATATACACAATATATATTTATATTACACATACTTGGTTATATTATCAATGTACTTCAACCCAAACTTAACTCTATATTGGCCCCATTTACATGAGAGTTACTTATATACAGAGGCGGCGGTAACAGTGTCGCGAGTTCAATTGTTTTTGCCCATTTGTAAAAATACACCTTTTGTTTGTTGTTCAAACATTACTTTATTACTGTACATATATCAATAGGATACCTAAAGCTAGTGGACTATACGGTAACTGTTTGGGACGACCGTTGTACTCGTACTAGCAAAAGCAGACCTGAGACGCCGGTACGACGTGCTCCTCAAGCGCCTCTCTTGTCTGGAGAGGGGCAAGGGTCATCATACTCCATGGTGAGGTCACCCATTCATGTGTCAGGTTGCGATTTTTGGTAGTTTCCTTGGTAAGGTATCCCGGGTCCTCTGCAATAAAACACGTTTGTGATGGAACACTGTGTGGTTTTAGTCAGTTTGAGACCGACATACCGCTTCATCACGAGGTGATGACCTGTGGAAGTTTCCACGCAACAAAAAAGATCAGTTGGCTTGTCTGGGCGTAACAAGTTTTGCTTAGAGGTTTAAGATTTGTAGTATATTTCTTGCACTATGAGTATTCATCTATTTGTTCTATTACAGATAAAAAACGTTCTACGCATTATAAAGCTGTGTGCTTTAGTATCCAGCTGGGTTCTTCTCACAGTGTCTCTTCTTCTGAACACGGAGAGATCAGATGTGGTGCTACATACTGCCGTCAGAGAGGAGGGCAAAGGTGAATATTAATAACAACACATCTCACAGATGACCATCTGATCTTTAACTAGGCCGAGCCTTATAGTAACCAGATTGCTGATAAACATACTTACATATTACCAAATACATACAAGTTATAGATAAATTACACCAAGACGCAGAACAAACGGTCATACCCATGACACAATATTTGTTATGGGTGGGAATGGAACCTACGACCTCTGGCTCAGTCAGCGGTCAGTGTCACTAACTACTCGACCAACAGACCAGTAAAATGTTAAGCTCATTTGACTTAAATTAAGTCTCTCTATTCGTGTTCTACTGCTTCTTCTATTTTCTTTCAGTATACGAGCTGCCTTCAAGTGATGCTACGGTTAAAGTGCTGATCACACTCACGGGCCCCTTCGCCTCGACTGCCTCAAACGGGAGTGTCACCACACTCAGGTTGTGGCTACACAGAGCTGTGGAGTTACACCCTGGTGTAGAACTGGAACAGGTTCAAATGCTGTATAACTCATACTCGCGTGATTTCTTATTTCGTGTTTCTAACTTTGAAAATGACAAACTACCATTCAACCGTTTTTCGATCTTATTTTACCCCCTTAGGGGTGAAATTACAAAAAATCCTTTCTTAGTGGAGCTCACTACATAAGAAAATCCTTCTTAAAAAAGTTGAACTAACAAAGACCACTTAAAACCTAGCAGCAATCGTTGATGTGCTGTAATTTTTAGAATAGTTCCGTTGTCTGTCTCCGAACCATTTTGGCAGTAACCGCTTTCTAACAAAAAAAAGAGTTTTGAAAATCCGTCCATATATGACAGAGTTATATCCGAACATACATAATACATAAAAAACATTCGAATTGATAACCTCTTCCTTTTTAAGTCGGTTAAAAAGCATCAGGTTCCAAAGTTTCGGGTTTGTACTCCCAGCGATTTCTACCCTTTTTTTTTCCGTGCGGAAATCCCCTCGGATACCACCTATCGGTGGCATGTCGGACTTGAACCGACTAAAACCGCACGCCGTCTCGGGTACTAATAGCCGGGGAACCAGGTATACCCTAGAAAGGAAGTCCCTGGTGCCCCGACATACCTCGGGCCATCTACAGACACAGACGAGTAGACGACCCCGCCCCCGAGCGATTTATACCCTGCGTTAATAAATCAGTCAGTCAGGGCAAGTAATTTTACATGGATAGATGGCCTAATAAGTATCCAAGTTATTGCGGGCCATGCAACGATTCCTGATGTGGTCGAAAATTGTATTCAACCGAAAGTTGACATTAAAAAGCATTTAAAGGTTAATTTTATTATTGAGTGAGTAAGGTTACTAGAGGACCAACCTTCCCTCCCGCTCCGTCAGCTAATTCTGGAGCAGGAACGCAAACGGTGACAACGCACTTTTATTTCTGGAGGTGTAGTTTGGTTATAGCACCTTCACCAGAAAGAAATTCTGCCTATGCCTAAACTATCTAAATATTAGTTTTTTTATATAAATATATTCATTTAATAAAATATTTTGGAAATTTACATTTTGCAGGCGGCATATTTTATGGTACAGAGGACAAACGAGCAGACGGGTCACCAGATGGATAGTGACTACCGCCGCCCATGAATGACTGCTACCCAGCTCATAAGCGCGTTGCTGGCTTTAAGGCAGGAGTACGCTCTTTTCTTGAAGGTTTGAAGGTGGTAACAGATTGGTTGTGCGAGGAAAAGTGTCTTGAAAAACGGCGATGGAGTACCGATTATTCAATAGAACAACGGTTTAAAAATTAAATTAGTTTTGATTCCTATTACAAAACCTAGCCGACTATTTCTCAAAGAAACGAAAAATTCATTACCAACAGCACAATTTAAACGGTTTTAATAGCCATAAATATTGAAGTTAATCCAATGTAAACATTTATTGTTCGTCCATATGTTGTTTAGTGTTGTATACTTTACGTTTTCATTGATGCCGTTTACACTGGTGTTTGAATATGTTTACTATTTGAGCAGCAGAAAGTAGTCTTTGCAAAGAGAACGTACTGACAATTTCAGTTAAAGAAAAGGCCAATTAAAGAAAATACAAAAAAATCTTGTCCGTGTGGATTAAGAATACGGAGTGTCTTCACCCCTATTCATCCCATGGGTATAGTAAGAGCCGACTGAGGAAACAAACTACGCAGGACAACAGTACTGCAAAGAGAAGGGAAACTTGACACAAAACCTATACCAACCCGTCTGGCTAGCGTGGTATAGTAGACCAATACCTCCTTTCTAATTAAAGGTCTATGTCCAGCAGTGGACTAGTAAAGGCTATTGATGATGACAGAATGATGAAGTGTGATAAGTTGTCCTTAATTTTTGTCCATGTTTGTTTCATCAAATTAGTATAAGTATAGTAAAACCTAGTCAGTAATAAATAACAGCGTTCTGAGGTAACGAACATAAAAAAAACAAACGAATCTACAATCTTTACCTTTTTTGTAGTTGTTGTCCACAATGAGCGTGTGTAATCGTTTGTGGGCTAAAAAGCCTTCGTTGGCGATAGATTTCTTGGTACCTTGGCAAAACCATGTATACTCATCTACCTATACAGGTTCCTGCTAACCTAAAGAAAGAAATCTAAAGGTAAGGTATGGTAAAGTACCTATCTTTTCAAATTATGAGATAAATTCGTGGGATGTAAATCTAACTCTGACCTGGTTTAGCGTCGGTATTAGTTAAGTTGATAGTTCGAACAGTGTGTGCTACTGGTTTTTTTAACACCTCTGGTTCATCTTCTATAGTAAATCTCTGTAAACCTAGAAGAGTTGGAACTATGGGACTAGGTTTCATTAGGCAGCTTATCCCAGTAAATTATAAAAAACTCTTTTCTCTTTTAGAGTTCAGTGGCATGGAGCATTCCCTTGCAGTCAGATGACATCATTGACTTTTCACCAAGCTCCACTGAGACACGGACTTTGGAATTGGCAGACAATTCACCGATTATGCACAGCAAAGATAGATACAGCAGGAACTATACAAAAGATGATTTAGTAATTGTTCACCAACTTACCAGATGGGGTCAAATTGGAAAGAATGGTAAGAATTTGCCAGAGATTACTCATATATCCATGTTAATGCCCCTCTAGAATTAGAAGGTGGAGAGGGGAGAGGACTGGGCCTTCGGTATCCTCACTTACTCGGTGTGTGGGTGTGGTCCTGGTGTGGATATACACACATGTGTGTTTCCAACTGCAGATAAACTTTTTTTAAGTTGTTGCTTTCTGACTATTTCATTCACCAGCAGAACTACGACAAGTGTGGTTTTGTGCATTGTTACGGGTTGTGAGGGTTTTTGTATAGGTTAGGAAATATCCTAACTGAAAGTAGCTTATGGCAGTGAAATATCACTATCTTTTTATTAAAATATACGGACCATTAGACATATCACTAATTACATAAGTTCAATTTAAAATAGAAGGAGAAGAAATAGAACACGAATTTATTCAAAAGGGCCCTCTAAGACTATAGAAGAGATGATTCTCCATAGAGGGAATTTAATAATTTTTTTTTGTCAATCGGTTCATGTTAAGAAGTTCTTTAATACAAATCGGCACAATAACTTTAATTGCGTAATGCAGGCGATCAGTAATGATTCCATGGTTCATCTTCGATGATGTTAATTTTTTTTTTTTATGTACGTGGAATTTGCCAAAATCATATGATTGTTATATTCTTATTAAGTAAGTTATTTTCCTTTTTACATTCAGGGACAGTGGTGACCCTCAGAATGAGTACGACAGCCAACAATACGGTGCCGATCACCATCAGCTACCAAATGAACCCTTTGGACGTGGAAGATGGCATCATTTACGCTACTATACTGCTGGTTGCGTTATACATGCTAATTATATTTGAGGTAAGAGTTTAACTCAACATTTGATTACTTGGATAATGTATTAACTGTTCTTCTTAACTCTATGGCAAATTTGATTTTGACTAATTACCGTGTTCGTTTAGTGGTTAGTGACCTGAATGCTAAGCCAAATGGGCATCGGCCTTGGGTTCGATGCCCATCCAAAACATATAATTATGTGATGAGCACGATCATTTGTTCTGTATCTGGTTCTCATTTATCTGTAATATGTAGTATGTTTATCATCAGCCTGGTTACCATAGTACAGGTTCTGTCACTTTAGTATCAGAAGACCGTGTGTGAGATTTGTGAAATTAAATAATAAACGATTTAATATTATAATAGTTCTTCTTCCATTCCACTTTATTATTTATCTTTTGCCATAGTCCATCAAGTTTTAATACAGTTATCCTGTAATATTTTTTATGTAGGTAAATATTTTTCCTTCTTAATTTTACTACTTGTGGTATGAAAAAAAACAATTACTTCTGATCTTCCAGATAGTGAACCGAACAATAGCTGCTCTTCTGTCTTCGTCTCTTGCAGTGGCAGTGCTAGCTCTTAGTGGAGCTAGACCTTCACTAACAGAGATTGTGTCTTGGCTGGATGTCGAAACATTACTTCTGCTGTTTAGTATGATGTTACTGGTCGCCATTTTGGCTGAAACTGGACTCTTTGATTATCTGGCTGTGTTGGCTTTTGAGGTGAGTAATCAATTAATTTGCCTCGGGTTGTTAAGTATTTTTTTTAGTATATAAAGCTAACGACCACTGAGGCCCCTCCCAGAATTATGGAGGGGAGAGAGGAATTATGGACCTTCTATCACTCCATCGACCCTAAGAACAATTTAAGCATGTGCCCGGACATATTTGTGCTACCAGCCTCACTAGCAAAAATACGTTCATATGAACACTTATTATAGTTAAACCGCCGAAACCTTGGCCCTCTTGATGGTTTGGGGGACGCGGGGCGGGGGTGCATCCAACCAATTAGCTAGTGCGTTGCTGTCCGTCTCTCTCTCAAACAAATAAATCTGAAGATATAGAGTTAGTACATCGTGTCATGTATAGCCGAGCGCATCACCCGCCCCGCGTCCCGCAAACCATCAGGAGGGCCAAGCTTACGGCGGTTTAACTATAGCACTGTAAGTAGTTGTGGGTGGGTTCTGGTGAAATTCTAGCTTGATGACTTTTTTCTTCTAGGCATTACATTCTCTCGATTTCTCTCCGGACTCAATGAAATACTTTGTTGGTAGGTGACTGGTGGAAGAACGTGGCCTCTCATCAACTGCTTGTGTTTCTTCACCGCAGTTTTTTCGACCTTTCTGGATAATGTCACTACTGTGCTTTTGATGACACCGGTTACAATCAGGTAAGCAATGAGCTTACCTTAGCATCTAACACTAAAAAATATTTGATTGTACCGATTTTACTAAATTAAGGCATTTTGAACAACAAATCTTTTTTAGTTTTTTTTTTTTGTAAACCTAGCAGCCTCCTCAGCAGTGGACTATTAAAGGCTGTTAATGATGACAGTTAATTATCTATGAGGCCTTGGTATCACGCCGGTCGAGAAGGCCCATATGTGTCGAGAATGAGGGCCAGCGTAGACCAAGAGAAGCGCAACAGAGAGGATTTTTTAAGACACTCGAAAATAAACTTTAAAGCTATTGCTATAAAGTGCATACACATAGTCCGAGGCCACGCGAACATTTTTTATCATGTTCAAACATGTCTAACTCTCCCACAGTGTATTTGAAACGAGATGGCGTTATGTGTCAGATGTCCGTAAAAAATATTATTAATAGTATTAGTATTATTATATGGGTTGGTCAGAATAAGAGTGTAGGTACACGTCTCAAAATATTAATAAATAATGTGAATACTCTTGAAATTCAATAATATAGGTTATGCCATCTACTGGAAATAGTTCCAGTAGACGGCATAACGAGGACAATGATGAACACGGTATATTCTTTTCAGACTATGTGAAGTCACTCAACTGAACCCAATACCAGTTCTGATGTCAATGGTGATCTTCAGCAACGTTGGTGGTGCGGCCACTCCAGTCGGAGATCCTCCTAACGTCATTATAGCCACACACCCTTCAATAGTAAAGGAGGTAAGTAGAAAAGCAGAATTTGATTAAAATTTGGTTTGTTTAGAGGAACAGGTAAAAAATGAAATGACACAATTCAAACATTTGTGTGCATGAACATTTAATGTTTGATTTGGTCTGTGTTTCTATGTATAATAAGTAAGTATGTATTTACAAAAAAAAAAAGTATATATATGTATTTATATCAGTTGTCTAGTACCCATAGTACAAGCTCTGCTTGGTTTGGGACTAGATGGCATTGTGTGAATGTGGTACCATATTATTATATTAATTTGGCAAAATAGATTTCTGCTTATATTCGTGACCTGACTTACAGTCAATAATTGTAGGGTTCTCAGGCAATCCATTTCTTGATCTCCCAGGAGGTGAGATCTCTCTGAATATATCAGATTTTATCTTTTTCACTCAAGTATCGCAGTCACCTTATAAACCATGACTGAAAACTTTTGACACATTAGTAACTAACTCATAATATTTTTCCTCTTTTAAAATTTATTTGGGGTCGGAGAAGTGAGTTTTCTTCTTCCATTCTCCTCTATTACTCGTCTATTTACTGTTTTCTCTTTTTCTAGCCATATCTTTTACCCAGTCCATTTATCTTTTATTTGGTCGTCCACTACTTTTATTTCCGTCAACTTCTATACATAAAACTTTCTTTACTACATTTTACTGTTCTCTGTGCATCACATGTCCACACCTACTTATTTCTATATCTTAAGGTTAGACATATTAGGAAGTAATGCCTCGAAGTCTGATGAACTATATTTCCTTGTTTCAGAACATCAACTTTACCAATTTCACACTCCACATGGGGGTTGGTATCCTAGCGGTATCCGTCCAGACTTACCTGCAGCTGAGGTATATGTTCAGGGACATCAACACACTGAGACACAGTGTACCTAGAGATATATTAGGTAATACATAAATACTTAATAATTATACTAATTACAACAATAATAATAGTAGTAACTAATACTACTAGCATAGCTTTCTTAGTACAAGCTCTGCTTAGTTTCAAACTAGATGGCGTTGTGTGTCAGATGTCCTATGTCGACATGTTATCAATGAAGGTAAAGCCCCATTTATTGAAAGGGATAAGTCTACTTGGAAAATAAAAATGGGAAAATCATAAGTGTGTTGGAAGGGAAAACTAGGAACCTATTATTGAAGGCAACGGAAATAAAGCAACATTAAATATACAAAGAGATGTGAGTGTGTATACTTTGTTTAGGGGGAGGATTGGGGGGGGGGGGGCTCCTTTGATTTGTAAACAACGAAGTATAAACCAGTAAGAGATAGAAAAGACAACGCGAACTCTAATTATACATTCAGTCAAAAAAGTATCGGGAATGGATGATTTGTTTATGGTTCCAAATTCATATTTTTTGTTTTTTTTTTTGCTGTTGTTAGATTGGCACAACTTTTTCCATTTTGGCGCGGAGGTTGAGTTGCATCTGTTATTTATATTTATATTATATCTAGTGTGTATTGCGAATTTCATAATGGATAAAAACATCGAACAAAGAGTTTGTCTTAAATTTTGCATGGCCAATGGAATTTCGGAGTCACTGAAAATGTTACAGAAAGCTTACGGTGAATCGACTTTATCAAAAACACGTGCTTAAGAGTGGTACAAAGCGTTCAAAAGCGGTCGAGATGTGATGGAAGATTTGCCTCGCTCTGTTAGTCCATTAACGTCAACTAAAGTTAACATCGCAAAAGTGTGAACGAATTTTTGACCAAACACTCAACAAATACCATCGAGCAACCACCATATTCACCAGATATGGCTCCAGCTGACTTCTTTCTTTTTCCTAAACTCAAATTACCACCTCGTGGCACCCGTTTTCAATCGGTAGAAGACATAAAGAAGAATTCGCGGCGAGAACTGAACTCAATTCCGGAAACAGCGTTTAAAAGATGGTTTTGATGATTGGATTATTAAGTGTATCGTTTCTGAATGAGTATGCTTTGAAGGTGATAAAATAAATTTGGATGAATAACAAACATTTTGTCTATTATTGATGTTTTCCCGGTACTTTCTTGACAGAGTAGTATGTAATTTGATATTTTATTGTATCTATACCAAAATTAAAACAAGGTAAAGTTTGTATGTTTGGGATAATCTCCGGTACTACTGAACGTTAGAAAGGTACAGTGCTATAGACTACTTTTTAGGTATATTATGTGTATAATTTAAAAATTTCTTGACAGAACTTAGGCAGGAGATAGCAGTGTGGAGACGGGCAGCTGCCTCGCTCTCATCTTACTCTAGGGATGAAGATATCGTGAGGCGGGCGCTTGAGAAAAAGGTATTAGTTTAATATTTTATCTAGACTAAAAATACAGACATAAAATCATTTTCTGTTTTAAACCAAAAAAATTTGTTTATTAAAACTATTGGCCTCAACCATTTCTATGAAATTGCCTGTTGTTTCTTGGTTTCGTCGGGTCTGCTCAGTTGCCTGTTACGCGCCGGCCGGGTCGCACCTGTCACACGTTATTTCGATACTCACGCACCGTTCTTTAGTAGTTTGACGTAATAGAACACTAGTAATAGTAAAAAAGGGGAAATGACGTCTGAGAGTCATACTTCGACACAAAAGGGCCGGCTCGATCGGAGTTATACTACGGCCTCACAGAAAACTGGTGATAAGCAGTTCCTTGGTTACTTTATACTGAGGTTACCGAAGAACCAATTCTCCCCCTGATTTTGGGGAAGGATTAAAAGTTCATCGGCAGCGGTAGTTACTTACAAAAAGGCCTGTAACCGATGCTCGTTTGCTACAATACCACAAAAAATAAGTTAAATGGCGTAACAATACAGACCATTTAAGGTTAAGCTTAGTAATTGCGTAACATACTACCCAAGTTTACACCTGATATAATATGTTTTTTTTTTATCTGTAACTAGGTACAAGAAACGTAATTATTTAATTTTATTAGGTAATTGAGATTTATCTGATAATTATACTACATTTAAACGGTTCACATTACATCACATCACATCAACAGCCTTTAATAGTCCACTGCTGGACATAGGCCTCTCCTTAGAAAAGAGGTTTTGGCCTACTATACCACGCTGGCCAGACGGGTTGATATAGGGTTTGTGTCAAGTTTTCCTTCTTTTTGCAGTGCTGGTGTCCTGCGTAGTTTGGTCCCTTAGTCGGCTCTTACGACACCCACGGGATGAATTGGGGTAGTGACATTCCGTATTCTTAATCCGTCACTACACGGTTTCACTACACATTTAAACGGTTACAGGTTGAAAAACTGAACCATGCGTTGTCCAGAAGAGAAGCTGGCGGAGGTACTTCTAAATCAGATCCTATGTTCTGTTCTACTCTTGCATCGATGAAAGAAAAGGTATGTTCGAAGGTGCTATATTCCATGCATTGTCACGTAGCTGTTCAGTTACCAGAGGCTCGCCCTCCCTTCTATTTTTTATGATGTAAGGGCAAATGAGCATACAGGTCACCAACTGCAATGGAGATCACTAAATTGCTTCTGCACGCAGTTTGGTCGTTGCAAGAGCAGCACAAACGAGCTGTGAATGTGGCTCTCATATGCAAACCATGCCACATTTGCTTTCTTGCCCACTGTGCCCTTCCAGCTGCACTGTGGAGGAGCTGTGAAAAGCAACAGACAATGCCGTGGCTGTAGCGGGATTTTAGCCGGACAAAATTTAGAGGTGTTCATCCGTTCACACGACGAAGAGAAGACGACGATGACCTGATGGAAAGTGTCTTTCGCTGCCCATAAACGCCTGCAACTCGGAAGGAGTATGAGTATTATATAGCGGGGTAGACAACCCACTAGTGACTCTTTCATTACAAGTGTCCTTGGACGGTGGTAGCCACTTACCACCAAGTAATGCGTCTGCTGGTTAGGTCCCTATCTACATATATTATATAAAATGTTAAGTTGGTTTGTGTACATCAAAAACTTTTGCATCGATTGATCTTAACACAACACAACAGATATTGTTTCTATTTTTTTTCGAGTCAGTGGTATTCCTCATTTGTCATCAATATTTTTTAAAATTTATGTAGGTTTATGTATGTGTGAGTGTTTATATATTGTGTATGTCTCTGGACCTAAATTATGTTAAATTTAATATTTTATTTTGCACCTACCGCATCATATTTCTACATCACCTGAAGGTTGACTGGGAGAGAATGCCTTTTGGAATTAAGTCCGCCTTTGTACAAACGCGTTAAACACAAACGTATAATAAGTTTTTCTATTTCCAGTACCGTATCAGAGACAAGCAGTTGCTCGTCAAGTCAGCAATTTGTGTGTCATTTGTCATCATCGTGTTCTTCTTGCACGCCATTCCAGAACTACGTAAGCCAACATCTCACTTGAATATAGTTATAATAATAATCTCGTACATCTCACACACTATATCCCAAACTAGGCAGAGCCTGTGCTATGGTAGCCACACTTATATATTATTAAATACATACATATTATAGATAAATTATACCAAGATACATATCATATGATCGTGCTCATGATACAGTTATCTGTTCAGGGTGTGAATCAAACCTACGACCTCTGGAATACCTGTCAAAATCAGTAACCACAAGATTTGTTTGTCAAAACTGTTATGGTTTAACTAGGTGCGCCCCGCGGTCTTACCAGCTTAGCATTCCACTACATTTTTTGGGATAAAAAGGTTAATACCCTATGAGTTAATACAGGGTGTCAGCTACCTCTATACCAAATTTCATCAAAATTGATTCAGCCGTTTGAGCTAGGAGTAACAAATAAACAAACACATACACTCACAAACTTGCCCCCATGAGTGTGATCATCTGTATATGGTTGTGAGTGTTCTCCCCAGAGCGCCTATCGCTGGGCTGGACGGCGCTGCTGGGCGCGCTGCTGCTGCTGCTGCTGGCGGAGCGCGACGACCTGGAGCCCATCCTGGCGCGCGTCGAGTGGTCCACTCTACTCTTCTTCGCGGCACTCTTCGTGCTAATGGAGGTAATATTGGCTTCTTTAATCCCTCGTGTTTTGAGATTCTTCAGCGCTATTCCTTTCCCAGGAAAAAATAACAGAATATTTCTGTTACTTATAAATTTTTATTTAGCTGAGTAATTTATAACATATTATAGTTTTACTAACTTTGTTGGTTGATCTTGTGTAATTCTATGTATGGGCTGAGCGTTGCGCTCTCTCTCTCTCTCTCTCTGGCTCAAAAACTTTTAAGAGCACAAAAAATTAACTAAATGTAGGAAATAATTTTCTATAAGTTCAAAAAGAAAAATAAATTTTAACGTAAAAAAGCGTGGGGCACCCCACGCTTTTTTACGATAAAATTATTTTAATAATAAAAATAAATAAATTTTTTAAGGTATTTTATAATATAACAACATTACTTTTACCAATAAAAGTCAGTAAAATATATTACAACAATTAAGATCTTTTCTTTCGATTGTTTTTTCTTTTCCTGAAATTAGGTCCTAAATTTTGCAGGCACTCTCAAAATTGGGTCTAATATCCTGGATCGGTGCCATGACGGAATCGGTCATTCTTGGAGTTGGTGAGGAGTCGCGGTTAGCTGTTGCTATTATGCTCATATTATGGGTAAGTTATACCATGGGAAAACCACGTTTCTTCACATTTAGGACAACTCAACCGAACCCAACCGAACAACCCTCCTAATTCAGAGGGCACTTGAATGAGCAAGGGTAGCCGCTTGCCATCAGGCGACCTGTATCTTTATACAGCTCTTTTTCCATTCTGACATCTTATGAGCTGCACGGCAAATCCCATCAAAAATCTCCTAATAAATTTATTTCTTACAGGTTTCTGGTATAGCGTCTGCGTTCGTAGACAATATTCCTTTATCGACTATGATGGTGAGGGTCATTGCAGCTTTAGCAAACCCTGCTGGGTTGGGATTACCTTTAGCACCTTTGGCGTGGGCTCTTAGCTTCGGCGCCTGTCTTGGAGGTAAGTAACTATGATGAACTCTGTCAAACAATTGCTGTATTATTTAGGGCTGAATTCTATCACCTTGGACTAGAGCCTGGCCTTCATCAGTCAAGATAGCAATAAATACTCATAGGATTAGAACTCATCATCGTATTCCTGCCCTTACCTTTACCGACTTCCAAAATACGGAGGTGCTATGTTTAACGGTTTTAATAATAATAGTAACTTAATATCTAAAAATTATATTATTGTTCCCAGGTAACGGCACGTTGATTGGAGCCAGCGCCAACGTGGTATGCGCAGGAGTTGCTGAACAGCACGGCTACCGATTCACCTTCCTACAGTTCCTCAAAATCGGTTTCCCCGTTATGATAGGAAACCTTATAGTTGCGTCCATCTACCTGTTAATTTGCCACTGTTTCTTAGAACTACATTAAAATAGAATAATAGAATCAAATACCTCGGGTAGTTGATAGTTATCACAAATAAATATTTGAAATATGTTAAATCCATAGTCTAACAGTTGATAGTCTAAGGCCGTTGTGAATTCCAATTTCAAATATTTAAAGTGACATTAGTAAATGTCAAGATTTGACATTTAATGTTTGGCAGAATCAGAGTCACTACACATTGGTGATTTTTTAATCGGATGATAGTTTAGTCGCTATCGTCCGATGGCCTCGATCATACTACCGACCGATACCTCAGTCTTGGGGCTGTGCGTGCATTAGACAGATTTTTAGTAACAAATCGTAGTTGTATTCCAGGAGTAACCAGATAATGATTTCTAAAAATGGTTCAGACTATCGACCTTAGATCTGTGAGCTTAGACACTTACTTCGCACTGACAATGCAAACGACCTACAAGCAGGCAATTGTTTAGTTGAATGTAGTGCGCGCTTGTATTATAGTTAACACATTTTAACATAGGAGATCCATACTGCGATACATATGGGCCGACCGGAGTAATACCACGGCCTAAACGGCTAAACCACTGTTAAGCAATTATTCTTATTGCTAAGTTTACCGAGGCACAACTCCCTATAACTTCCTCCTGGCACAACTGACTGCAACCTGTGACTTGTGTTGCGCTCCTAACTTTTGAGTAACAGATGTCTATAAGCGACAGTGGTCATTCAACATCAGATAACCTCTCTGCTCGTTCAACCTTTGCACCAGATAAAAATACATTATGCAATTGAAGCTAGTTGTTTGATAGTTTGATCGAATAGAAATCGGAAAGTCATTTTATACAATTAGTCGATTATAAATCGTCATTTGTGCGCACTGCCATTCAGTTTCAAACCTTTTGCCAGAACGACAGAACTATCGGCCGATTAATAATCGCCTGTTTGTAAAAGCAACACTCAGAAATGGTAATAATTAAAATAGCCGGAAATAAAAATGGCGGCATTCATCTATCATTGATTTAGACGTCATTTTTTTCTACTAGTCAAAAAATGAGGTGCTGCTAGTAATTTCTAGAAAATAAAGAAGAAATCAAGTGTCAAAATTGTTGAAATAATCAAGGTTTTAATGATGAAATCTGTTAACAATATTTGCCATTAATATTATACACAGAACACTGATGATTAAAAATATTTCGTTGGTTTTTAACGAGTTAGGAAAAAAAAAACGGTCGGAACGAAGTTCCGCATGAAGTGTCGGCAAAAAGTCTTGTTACACATTTTTCAGTCTCGCTCCCGTCCGCTCAGAGTGTTTAACGCGCGTTAAGGAACTTTGTTCCAATTCAAAATCATAAAGGTATTTATGTATATAATTAAGTAAGTCCATAGCCTTACACCTCACTATATTTATGTGTATATCATTGTTCCGGGTCAAGACAAAATTTTATAGTAAAAAAAATCTATTGCTATCTCTTTTTAACACACAAGAATTGTACACGTAAGAAAGGAGATAGAAATATGTCCCACTCGTCCTCAATATGTTTATCTCTGTAAGTAAGGATACACGCGCGCACTCACTGTAACGTTCGCGTTTAAAACTCTCATTAGATTAAAATGCTGGTATTTCTCTTATGATCGTAAAATCATTAGAACTTAAGTTGATAAAAGAAAACGAGATTTTATTTAAATGCAAGTGTAGCTTTAAAATATAAAGTTTAAAAAAAATTGTTTTAAATATAATAATGATAAGTTTGCGAAAATAGCCCATAAATATAAAAATATTATTTATATTTATTAAACATATACGGTTGTACTCACCGTACCACGGTGAGAACTGACACCATCGTGGAAGAGCCTAGTTTCGACCCCAATGGGCCCATTCGACCAGGCTGATACTACGGCCTTACAGAAAACCGTTGTTAAGGAGGAGGAGGAGCTAAAACCGCCTGATTTATGAGGAGGGGTGGTCAAAGACACTTGTGGGTTTGAGTTGCAAGGGTCCATGGGCGGCAGTAGTTAGGTACTTGGTGACGCATCTGCTCGTTTGCCCTTCTATACGCGATGTCGCTATACCTCTTGATGCAGGGTCCCCATCAGGTCCAAACAAGGAGGTCATCCGAAACACCCACGTAAGGAAAACTGTACATCTACAATAAATATAACATACTTTTTATGGTGTATTTTTTTGTATGAATCCGAAATCGAACCAACTAAACACACTCTGTATCTAATATCAAATTACGGTCGAGAAAACTTGAGAACGGTAGCCATGACTTGCTATGAAATAAGCAGAACTACATGTGACATATATTTAAAAACCGAGAAGGTCTCGTTTTTAGCTCCCAAACGTCACTTTACAAACTAACTCGTACTACTCGGTTGCGATATTTCCGGACGACCTTCATACATTCAAGAAAAAGCGTACTCCGCCCTCAAGGGCCGGCTACGCGCTTGTGACTCCTGAGTAGCAGGCGTTCATGGGCGGCGGTAGTCACTTTCCATCAAGCGACTCGTCTGCTCTTTTCCGCTCCCGATATATGACGATGGGTCAAAAAAAAAACGATTCGGCAAAAAAAAACAACTTTTTACAGCCATGCTGCGGCACATATAGGCTCGTCCGACGTGATGCTCACAGAAAATCAGCATAAAGCAGTTCTTTCGTTACTTCCCTGGTTATAGGGAGAGGGAGGGGGGGGGGGGGGTCGAAAGGGTGGCAATGCATTTGTGACTATTGAGTTGCACTTACCATCGGGTCACCCGTCTGATGATTTGCCAACTCTATACCATAATAAACGTTAACGTTCACACACAAATACATTTTATGTGTATATAATTATGTTTTATTCGTACATTATGAACGCTTATACAGTGGTGTATTATCGATTAGATAATGTCACTGCCACTGTCTTTAATTATCATTTATCATTAATTTAATTGAAAACCTTAAACCATTTATCTTTAAAAAAAATTGTAATGAGTTTAATAAAACATATTAGAAGAGGTATAACTACTAACTAGTAACATTATTCAGGTACATGTCGTCACTAACCGGTGAAAGAGGCTGACAGCTGTCAGTTGGTATCATAACTATCTGTACTGGGTATCTATATTGTCTATGGAACACTGCCAGTTTATCGGTTTGTAATCGAACTTATCGAGCAGATAATGAGTGTTTTATCGGAAAAATTGAAAATGATTTTGTTTTTCCATTATTATTTTTTAGAATTTTTGCGTTAGGTTAGGAACTTTTGTCAACGTCCCTAACAATAATTTAAGATATGCAGTGAGTCTATTAGGACCCATCTATAAATTACGTAACACGTTAAGGGGGGGGGGGGGGGGTCCATGATGTGGGATATTCCGTGTCAAGGGTGGGAGGGTTTAAAGCGTTCTGACGTCACTTTTAAAACAATATCTAAGCATTAATACGCGAAATTTGAATTATTTATAGTAAACTTAAAAATATTTACAATTTCGGAATAGTTGTTTTAATTTAGACATTTCAATTTCATGTAAGGATGGGGGAAGGCCCACATATTTGCCCATCTATGACAAGGACGGTGATGGGGTCTAAAACCCATAAAGTCCGTGTGACGTAATTTTTAGATTGCCTGGTATATGACCCTAAAATGTGACCATATCTTTCTGTAGCATCCTGTACATCAGATTGTAAATTTATGGCTGCTTATATGTATGTGAATAAGGGTACAAATAAATGAATTGTGATCATAAATAAGTATTATTGTGAATTAAAATAATTAAAATTTTAATTGTTATTTTGTTTGTTTTATTGCACCTGTATTTTCATTTATTTATCTATACAAATAAATAAAATTGGAGTGTCTGTTTGTAATATTAAAATAACCGCTTTTTACTAAATGCATATGTGAGTTTACACGGTACATATGCCAAAATAACATTTTTTACAATTTTTGTCTGTCTGTCTGTTTGTTCCGGGTAATCTCTGGAACGGCTGGAACGATTTCGACGGGACTTTCACTGGCAGATAGCTGATGACATAAGGAGTAACTTAGGCTACTTTTTTCAGACTAGCTTAGCCACGCTGCGTCGCCCGCGGTTATAACAACAAACGCGGGTAACACCGCGGGTCTCAGCTAGTTATCTATATAAATAAAAGAAAAAACTGATCGATCAACGCACAGCTGAAACTGCTGGGTCTAGAAGTATATTTTTAGTACAAATATTCCTTAGGTGAAGCTGGTGTGCACTAAGAAAGGACTTTTAAAAATTTCACCCCAATATTTGCAAAATGGGGGCTGGAAATTCATATGAAACTTATTTTTTGGTAGTTGCCTTTCCCTAAACTGCTGGAGCTACAATCTAGAAAATTTGGTAAGTATCTGATGCTTTTTATGATTTAAGCACCCACTTAGAAAAGGTTTTTGGAAATTTCACCTCTAAGGGGCTAAATAAAAAAATAAGGGAAGATTAGTTGTATGGAAGTTCGTTATTTTCAAAGTTTAATTTACACGAATTAAGGAAAATGACGCGAGTGTAGCCGTTGGCAATAGGTATTGATATAGTTACTACGGAATGATAAGCTTAAATGGGTTAAGAAAATTCCTTGTACTGTTCTTTATCAAATAAGGCAGGCGGAAACATATCATATTTGCAATACTTAATATTTCTATGTAGAAGTGCACAAAGTTAAAAGTTTTAAACAGTATGTAATCTAAATAAAAAATCAGCTTCATAAAACTATAAGGATATAGTATATAAATTCCATATGGATGGCGGATTAAGAATACGGAGTGTCACCACCCCGTTGGTGTCGTAACAGCCGAATAAGGGAGCAAACTACGCAAGTCATCAGCACTGCAAAGAGAAGGAAATCTTGACCTCATACCAACCTGTCTGGTGAGAATGGTATAGTAGGCCAAAACAACCTTTCTAAGGAGAGGCCTATGTCCAGCAGGAAACTGCTAGAAGGTGATGATGATGATGACAGTGTATGTATTGACCTGTCATTGTACAATAATCTATGCAACGAAAGTGCAAGTAATACTGGTCATTGAATAGAGTGGTTTACCGCTTCTTACTGCGCTGAGTGTTGTGGGTCCGATCCCCGCAAAGGACAACACTTTGTGTGATCCATAAATTGTTGTTCTGAGTCTGGGTGTTCTTTGTGTCCGTTTCATGTATGTTTTTAAAGTCTCCCGCGACACAGGATATATTCCTAGTGCGGGAGTTGTCTTTAAAAAAAAAGAAACAAAAAAATGAAATCCAGCAGAATTATAATAGAAAAAATCAAATTTCTTACAAAACATAACTTATTTACACTTAAGCTACATAAATTCAAAGCATCTTTCGTACAATCGTGCGCGCTAAGCTTGATGAAAGGTAGATTTCAAGTCTCGAGACAGATCAAACATACCCAGGTCACAACACTTACGATAGAGTAGAGTTTTAATAGGTTCGATATCGACATACCACCACTTAACAGCCTTGAGGACACTCGTGTGAATTTCTAGACGGTAAAAAATAACTTTCAGACGCCCCGTACCGTAGTACATGGTCTCCGAGTAACCGTCCAAAAAGGCCGTCTAGTATTGCGAAGATTGAACGATTTCATGTTGCTTTATGTGGCTATTAGAAACGAAACATGCCCATGCATTCTAAAATGTCTGCTTTTGTATATTGACAGTCATAATCCAACCAAACTTGCCTTGAAAAGACTGAATATAGAAGAAGTTAGCTCTTTTGCCATTGATTTAATCAAGACCTTGTCAACTTCTTTTATATTTTTAAATTAGTAACATTTTCCTCATGTCTGCAAAGTTGACACTGCTAGAACAATGGAAGATGAAGACAAAGATTCACACCGTCGAGTCACAATATTAGACAATGACCTTTGCAGATAAATCCTCCTACACAACCTGGTCCGCTTCTTTTTGAGTGTGAATTCGATCAGATCCTGTATAGATTATTGTCCGTGTAGTGACGGACTAAGAATACGGTATGTCACTACCCTAATTCATCCCGTGGGTGTCGTAAGAGCAGCCTAAGGGCGCAAAACAACGCAGGACACCAGCACTGCAAAAAGAAGGAAAACTTGACACAAACCCTATACCAACCTGTCTGGCCAGCGTGGTGTAGTAGGCCAAAACCTCCTTTCTAAGGAGAGGCCTATGTCCAGCAGTGGACTAGTAAAAGCTGTTGATGTGATAGATTATTTCTTCCCTTTTCCAAAATCATTTCTTTCATAATTTTCAATCATCAACGATTTTTTTTGGAAACATTTTTACCATTGTATTTATATTGAACTAGCCGATTGAACAAGTTTGTCACCTTACGGCATGTGACGGTAGCAAAACGGCCAAACCTCATATTTTGACTAAGGCGTAGAGATTGGTAAGTTTTGGCTTGTGGAGTTAGGGTGTGGAGATTTAGAAGTTTGGATCTACATGAGATTTGATAACTTTTTGACAATGCGAGTCATATAGTCTTGTCTTAGCAACATTTTACATGAACATGTTTTTGGTGGAATGTTCTTGTCCCTCATATATATATATTATATATATAATATTTCTTCTGTATTATCACTTTCCACTATTCTTACTATTGACGTATCGTATACAGTACGAGTAATCATAAGCCCCTGAATTATTAGGTGATTGTGAATACTCTTCGCCTTTAACTATATTAGCGTAACGTGGATTAAATTCAACTTCTGCTGTTGTTCTATTGCTTTTATCACTGCTTTCGTTTTGTTGGCTTGTAGGCCATGAGTTGACGTATAAAATATCAGCTTGTGGAGATATAGGCCTAGCGGTAGCATATTTTTCCTTCGAAATGTCCTTGACATCTAGATGCTGATATTCTGCGGTGGCATTGTCAAACATTGGCTCGTACAAGGAATTCTGTACCATATACCCTTGAGAATAATTTTGTTCTGAAGTTCTAGCCATTGGAGTTGAATATGTTGGTGTGGAATATTGATTTTCATTTTTCAAGGTTTCAGTAGTAGTCTAAAATTAAAAAGCAATGCTTATTAGTTTAGTAGATATAAAAATTGTTAAGAGTAATACCACCGGGCATTTTGTATATTCATACCTGTGGACTCTTAGGTGTCCTGTACCGGCAACAGTAGAAAAAGAAACCCAGCGTTGTGACAGCCAATATTGAAGCTACTATTGCACATACGATGAGTATCGTATTATCAGAATCTGAAAATATTGGACAGAAGATAAAGCTGGTTTAAAAACCATACAAATAGGTAAAAATACTGTCAATATCAAATAAGTTATTTATTTAAATTCCATGGTCATGAAATTGTTTTATATACAATATTCATCAGGTCAAAATGTAATGAATGGAAAGTTTAAAATAAGCTCCAGGCTCTATAAATCTATTCCTAGGATCAGGCCACCCAAAGCTACCTTAAGGTAGTGGCTTGTTGTGTTTCACGTTCGGTAGTCTAAATTGCAGGGAATAAGACTCCACAGATTCGATGGTGAAAACTTACACCCCTCTCCACTCTTTAACTCTGGAGATAGTGGCGTCGTGCTTGTGCCTCTTGAGTAGCAGGTTTTCATGGGTCCTAATATTAGCAACACCAGGTTACCTTTAGTGTAGATCAGCAATACAAAGACCCATATGACAGTAATGGATATAATTCTGAAATATAAGCTCTTGATTTGGAAGGCAAGGATTTACTTACCCTCGTCTCGATAATCCGTGGTCACTGAATACGCAGATTTTCGATGTAAATTTATTATAGTTGTAATGTTTACGTCTTTGCAAATTATTATCAAAGTCTCATTGGATTCCTCACTTAGCGTGAAATTGTGTTTTATAATTTTATCATATGTATAATGTACAACTGACGCTGTTAACAAATATAGTTTTTTTTAAAGTAAGGTCTTTTTCAATTGGCAATTTGGCATACAAGTCTATTTACTTAGATAGTTTATTACCTAAACCAAATACTCACTTCCAAAAAGCCACTGGAGATTTCTTTTGCGCCTAGAAATACAAGAAAGATGTAGTGGCTCTCCCATACTGTACCAGTAATCGATGGTCCAAGTTGTTATGTTCTTCCTGTATTGGTCCATGACATCCTTCGGAGTAAGGCCTATTATAAGGAGTTCTGGGAAAGAACCTACAACTAAATAAGTGTTTTTTAAGAGAGTGACATTTATTAGTTTTTTTTCCGGTTTGGTCCGTGTTTTAGATTACTGCTATGAGTCGAAGTTGTAATTTTAAATACGAGTAGACTACTACAAAATGTAGAGTTGTAAATATAAAAACATTCGGTAATTCTGGAGATATTAACCTTGTTCAACCAAAACCACCTGTTCAGTTTTTGGAGTTAACTCCTTTAGAATCGTTTTTCATAGAAGGCCCGGTATTACAAACATATGACGAGTAAACTTTATTGATCAAATGACCTCGTTACATTTTTAGTTCTAAATGTAATTTATAGATAGCGAATAAACTATTTACTTTTACGTGGTTGTAATTATCTTTCTCTTTTTAAAAGACAACTCATTAGGACTAACATTAACACTAACTAGGACATGCATGAAACGGACACAAAGAACACCCAGACTCAGAAAAACAATTTGTGGATCACACAAAGTGTCGTCCCATGTGGGGATCGAACCCACAACAGTTAGCGTAGTATCAAGCGGCGTGGCGACCGCTTAAACCACTTCGCCATCCGTGCAGTCATATATTTTTGTCAGTTTGTTGTTAGTTCTATGAATGCAATTTCTTTCAGTTTAGTGAGTAGTTCACTACATTATTTTTTTTAAACGGAATAAATCCCAAAATAAATGGCAATTAATACGTGACTTCTAACTATTTTACTAACATTTACATAGATGGCACTGATCATTAAATCTGTGTGCAGCCGACGTACACATAATAATAATAATAATTTATTAACATAGGATGGTACACATATAATTGAGAATCCCCTGTTTCCTGCGCTAGTTTCAACTGTGTTGTAGGAGACAGGACCCAATGATGGACACAGGGTATGGGTTCTTAAGGAGTAAACTCCAGTCGTGCGTCGGAACTGACACACGCACTTTTTTTTTGTAAGCCGGCAAACGAGCAGCTCACCTGATGGTAAGTGATTACCGCTGCCCATGGACACCTGCTCACCTCAAGAGTTACAGGTGCATTGTCGCTCTATGCGTCTCTCCCACAGAATCAAGGAGAGGAAGGTTTGGGTTCCGGTAACCTCACTAAATCCGTGAAAACCATCGAATAAACAGCTTTGACAGTGGTTTTTTCCATGTGTCCCTAGATAACATTCCAGTCGAGCCAACCCATTTGTAAACCATAGCTCTCCCACAGTCTTACTTTTAGAAATTACGCCAAAGCTTTTGGAGGCCACAGAAATTAAATCACTTCTGTGTTTACCAAAATATTTTCTTTCGAATTAAACAAATGTTTTCATTGTTACTTACTTTCACTAAGCAATATTTCTGCGATTATAACTGGCTTTGGAACGCCTTCATTCATAACACGCAACTTATAATTATCCTCTTCCAAAGATTTTGTGTGGAATTTAACAGTTTTTTTCCTTCGTGTCGTCTTTATTTCTGGAAAATATATGTGTTGAATAAAATTAGTAATATAAACTACTCTTTTAAATAACTAACCATTAGACTTCAGAATCCCATTAAAAACAAAGTAATAGTCCATATGAAAGAGGAAATACAAGAAGGGACACACAGCTTTTCTGTGTGGAAATCCCCTTTGATACCACCCACCGGTGAGATGGTTATGTCGGACTCGAACCGACCAAAAACCGCACGTCGTCTCGTCTCGGTATCAGTTGCCGGGAAACCAAGTGTCCGGGAGAGGTTTAGGACTCTCCCGGCCCGCCAGGCCCGGGAACGGGCCAGGTACCGCAGGCGACCCAGGCGCCGGAGGTCGCAGAACGATCTCCGTCCTCCATAAGCGATGGCCTGAGGGTGACAGGTGAGGCCATCTGTCACCCTAGCAGAAGCAGGCCGGGGTGGCGGCGAGCGCGTTGCGAAGCGCGCTCGCTTCCAGGGAGCAGAGGGAACATGGGGCTCCCACACGGGTGGAGGTCGTCTACTCGTCTGTAGATGGCCCGAGGTATGTCGGGGCACTAGGGACTTCCTTTCTAGGGTATACCTGGTTCCCCGGCTAATAGTACCCGAGACAGCGTGCGGTTTTAGTCGGTTCGAGTCCGACATGCCACCGATAGGTGGTATCCGAGGGGATTTCCGCACGGAAAAAAAAAGGTGTACCCTAGTAGTAGTAGTTATTTACCCTCAGGTGACCCGTCTGCTCGTTTTTTCAGTGTATCAGAAAAAAAACACATTTATACTCGTAATAACATTGTGAATGTAAGTTTGTTAGTTAGAATGTCTGAATGCTTGTTTGTCTGTCTATTTGTTTGTTTGAACCTATATTTGTTTGCATGTTTGTTTGTTTGTTACGCTTTCACACTCACTAAACACATTTTAAAAAATCTTTCACCAATGGAAGGCTATATTAACTGCGAGTAACATAGGTTAATTTACCACGATAGCCGACAAACACGCGGGCGGAGCCGCAGGCAAAAGCTAGCTTCTATATATATGACAAGCATTTGCTTAAAAGTAATTTTATCCCTTTTGATCTAGTTCTTTTTTTCAGCCTATGTCTTTGTCTTCTCTTGTGTCTATGTCTATATCCTTCCTCAAGAATCAAACTATCTCCATATCAAATTTCATGTAAATCAGTTTACCTATTATATATTTCCCATTCAAATTTTCAACCCCCTTTTCACCCCTTTAAAGGATGATTTCTGGGATAAAAAGTATTCCATATCCTTTCCCGGGACTCGAACTATCTCTTTACCAAATTTTATCTAAATCGGTTTAAGCGTGAAGAGGTAACAGTCAGACAAACAGACACACTTTCGTATTGATAATATTAGTATGGATTAAACTGGCGTACCTTTAAATGAGCTCAACTTAGGTGAGTCGTTGTTTTCATCAACAAAACGTATTGAGCCGTATTGTTCATTTGTTGTCTCAAAACAAAATTTCAATATTTGATTTCGAAAGTATGTGAAGTGGTAGTATCTTATGTTTTCATTAGCAGACGAGTTTGTTTGTTTGCTGCTGTTTGTTGGTCTCAGCTTTAGATCATTTATAGTGATTGTGAAGTCGTCTAAAAAAAATACTTTATACAATTTTCTGTTAATCAAATGTACATCATTAAAAAAAAACAAAAAAGAGATTGCTTTAATGCGAGCTGCTGCTTTAATGCATGCATTGCTTTGATGCAATTTAAAAGTAAAAAGAACGAAATAGCACGAGGTCCGACACCGCCATCAAAAACTTTTTAAAACATTTTATTATTGGTTATTAAATTTAAATATTTAACTTTTAATATTTTTGTAATCCCCATTTAATTTTCTTGATTTTGATACCCTACTCAATAGGTTTGTTTTTTTTTTTACTAACTTATTACTATTTAAGCCATCTAAAGCCACTTGAGTTTTTGAGATGGATAAAACAATTAATTATCGAAATCCATCCAGCCTTTGGAGGATACGAGGTAATAAAGAAATTTACAAACAAACACACAAGATACGAAAAACGTAACCCATGGCAGTGGGTTAATTTCCCCCCTTAGGGGTGTGTGTTTTCTTTAGATTTGAATAGGAACAGGAAGTCCACCGTCAAAACTTATTTAAAATATCGAAATCTGTTCATAAGTGGTGGAGTTCTAAAGTAACAAACATAAAAAAAAGCAATCATAACAAGCGGACCGAGATAGAACGGTGGATGTTGCAAAATTCTAAATGTAATATTGTGAAAAGTTTCAGAGCGCGGTGCAGGGTCACTTGTTACTAAGTAGTTTGGCTGATTTTCGCTAGATGGCGGTGACGCATACTTTTGTTCTATTTGGATGTTACCAGACAGTTGATATCACCGAAGAACAAAAGAAAGAAGAGAAATTGCTGATCCCCTTGTCCAATTTATACCGCAAAGTCTATATTCTTTTTATATTGTGCATCTATAATCGATACGCACATGGCCTTTTTTTAAAGTACTTACCGTCTATTGAATTGTTTATAAGTTTGAAAACTACTTTGTATGGAAACGTCAAGTTAGTGTTTTTCGTGACGTATGTACAATCTATTGCGTTATTATTGTCTTCAGCTTTCATCGTTCTTTGAAAGAATGCTGATTCGTTGTCAGTAATTCTATCAGTTTTAAGTAGAATTGTATCTGAAATAAAAAAATGTATTAAAAATCCGTTTTGTTCAGATAATTTGTAAGCAAGTAATTTAAAATGAATAATTAAGGTGTTATCACAAACTGATTTTATTGTTTTCATAAATGAATTGTCTTGTACCAAAATCCATGCTTAAGCATTGATTCTGACAGTTACAAGACAATAGATTCAAATTTCGAATGTCGCCAATTTAAAAAAGAAATAGAATGAGAATGTTGCCATATTTAAATATAATATTATTGGATTTCAACCGACAAATTTTATTCTGCACACGACATACGACGCGCTTTCATTTGCTTGTCAGACGTCGTAGGGTAAAGAGCTATTGGTGTTCGGTGTCATCAGCATCGTGTAGTAAGACTCAGTGCATAATTAATTATAGTTATTATTTTGCGTTCCAAGCGTATTAAATTAGCCAATCAAAGGAATATAAACTTAATCTGTGAAACTATGCGTATTTTTTAAAATCTAAGTTACCACTTGTACTTTGTTACTTTTTGTTCTCACCTTTGGAATCGTAGTAGCGTAAATATATATCTCCGTAATCGTAAAATTGATCATTAATCTTCTTGCAAATCAGCTGGACAGTCTCGCCATCCTTGAAGTAGTATATTCCAAGTTCCCGTGAGCCCGATAGACTCGTATTTATTTTTCTTCCTGCTATTTCAATCTGAACTTCTGTAAAGAGTAAAAAAACAAAAAACTCCAAGGGCAGCAACGCACTTGTGACTTTAGAGTTGCAGGTGTCCATGGGCGGCACTCCTACAGGTCAAGAGACACAGGCGCATTTCAGTTCTTTGAGTAAACCACCCCCTCCCCCTCCTAGAGTTAGGGAGGAGTGTGGCCTACGTAAACCTCACTTAGTCAATGAAGAGCAACAGAGTTGCTTAATACATTGCCGGCCGTTGACTACCCTAAGTAAAAAATTTCGAAATTTTATAATTTGGTAACTTACTTAGACCGCCTATAACTCGAACATAAAATTCAAGTTTCAAAGCATGGCCATTTGTTTTTATGGTACACTGCCATTTCCTAGTCATGACATTACTTGCCTCTGAAAACTGTTTTGAAACTTCTTGTTATTAAGGATAAAATGTTGAATTTTATGAAATTTGCTCTATAATAGTCCTAGTGGGATAGTGACTGGTTGACGGTAATAGGCTTAAACGACCAAGCCACATTTTTTGACTAACGTGTAGAGTTTGCGAGGATTTGTAAGAGTTTAGGTGTGTAGAGTTAGAAGCTTGGCTATACATTCGATCAGAACGCCAATTCTCATAATAAAATTTGGTCTCAATTTACCTCCGATCAACTTTCGGTCTCACAATTGTCTTTCAAGGTATTTTCGTAGTAAAGGATTAAACGTCCAAGGTTGACTGTAATGTGATTATATCGTTTTGTAGAATTTGAATCTACTAAGAATAACAGATTACCGAAAATTTTATCGGTAATCTGCTACTTTTAGTAATACTGCTAAAATAGTATTTTTATTTGTTTTGTTTTTTTTTTGTTATGTAGTATTTAATTTTACTATATAGATTACTTTACTTTTTAACTACAATATTAAGTCTTTATTGTCATAGGTCAGTTAAATTATGTATTTTAGTTATTGTTTCGGTGACCGGTACTTCATAATTTAACAAAAATGTTATTTTGTGTTCTCATGCAAGTTTTGTATTGTCTTTTTGAGAATAAATGATTTGAACCATTTTACTAAGAAAATACCTTGAATGACAGTTGTGAGATCGAAAGTTGATCGGAACTAAATTGTGACCGAACTTCTATTACGAGAATTGGCCTTCTGATAACTTTTTGACAGTGCGAGCCATTATGGTCTCGTCTTGGCGACATTTTACGTGAAAATGTTTTTGGTGGGTGGGATAATATACAGAAAACTTTCCACTGTCATCTCTATTTGTCGTCTGTTATTACTAGCAGTTAATTAATGTAATCAATTTGCAAAAAACTTGTGGATGACTTTTATCGATCTAAAGAAAGCTTTTAACCGGGTGCCAAGAACTCTAATACGGCGAGCCCTAAGGTCGCAAAATGTCCCTGAACTGTAAATAACACTTATAAAGGACATGTACAACAGTGCACCAACATATGTGAGAAGCCCAGCCGGGATGTCAGCGAGCTTTGATGTTGAGGTCGGTGTTCATCAAGGAAGCGCTCTTAGCCCCTTACTTTTCAACATCACTATGAACTACCTGACGAAAGAAATCCAGAAACCTGTACCGTGGAATCTATTGTATGCGGATGACGTGGCTCTGATATCAGGCAATGCGCGTGAAATGCAAGAACATCTAGAACGATGGAGAGAAGCTCTAGAGTCAAATGGACTCGCATTAACAGAACTAAGACCGAGTACATGGTGTGTAGTTTTGACCCGGACGGCCATGGCGCGGCAGGCGCAAACCTCACTCTTGACGGCACAAACCTTCCGAGAGTAAACAAATTCTAATACTTGAGTTCTGTCATCTGAAATGATGGTTCAATAGACTTACAGGAGTCCTGTGCGATCCAAAAATGAGTATAAGAACCAAAGGCAAAGTTTATAAAACTGCCATGAGACCAGTTCTACTCTACGGAAGTAAAATGTGGGCCACAAAAAGAATGCAGGAACAGAGGCTGCACAATATAGATCGGAATGATTGCCGTGTGGTGACGGATTAAGAATACAGAATGTCACCACCCGTATCTTAAAATTGATGAACTTATTAATGAACTGTCTTCCATGGGGATTTCAGCGAATCCTGAGAATACGGTTGTCGGATTGCGAAGTGAGATGCGTACTGCTTTGCAGCTTATCCGGCGTGGCCGCTTTAAGGCCATCGCCGCTGTTCCTGCCTTTGCCGCCTCTGACATTGTCTGTCAGCGGGCTTAAGGTCTTTGAACTGGAACAGGTTTTTTCTTCAGGTGACTCCGTTTCGTATTATAAATTTTCTTATTAGAGTTGGGGCTAAATACCTTCTAGATAGGTTAGCCGGTGTAGTTTTAACTGTCTAGACCGATTCAGGACATCCTTTGTGACCTGAGGGGTCCATTCACTACATTTCCTACATGGGAAATGTTCTTACAATTGTGGTCTCGGACTACGTCAAAATTTTTCTTATTATGTCCTATGAGGATTGCTTCCGGCCTACTTTCGTGCTGGGTCCCATATGGATGGCTTCAGGTTATGTCATGTGGTGTCCTATATGGATAACCACAGGCTTTGTAGTCGCGAGTCATAGTATAGAATGTTTTCCTAAACCACGGGGTTCATAAAACCACTTATATGGATTTTGGCCCTGTTGAGGATATTCCCTGCGCACACTACGCAGGGAATACTTTGAGGGAGGGGGTGGTGTAACAGTTTTTTTTTTGTACATTTGTAATGCGTACGGTCTTGTTAAAAGCTACATCTATTGGCCGCGTTGCATTGTTGTTGATTTGTCTAAGGTAGTTTATCACTACAGTGTTGATCTTCTGTGTTCACTGATGTTAAATGTCAAGGTAAAATGTGGAGTAGGGATAAAGTCTGGAAGCTTCCTGAACCTAGGATATATAAGTCCGGCTTTCTGCCACGGGAGACTCTGCTATCTCGTGTCTTCCAATCTTAAATAGTGTTTTGATTGTTGTGTGATTTAATTTTCGTAATATATTATCTGTTCAAATCTACCCACGAGAGTGGGTCCCAGATTTCGGGGTCAAGACGGTCAGTCTCAGACGGCGTGCTTGCTCTTTTGTGGCCTTCTGGTTCAAACTCAAGTTTCTCGGTACCCTCTGGCAAAGCTGGTGATTGCGCGGCTCACGACGCAAGCGGACAGCCGTACCCAAGAGTTACGTACTTAAACTTATAATTGCAAATTGTTAAACTTATATTCATATCTAATATAAATAGCCGACTCGGGCGGAAGAGGAAGTAACCTCCTGGAGGGACGACGAGGAGGCACCGAGCACCATCAGCTCGGCTCTAACGCGCTCCGCTGCAGTTTTTTTTTCTTTTTCTTGTACCCACACTGATTAATTTATTTAATTTCTTATTGTAAATTTGACCTACTTTTTTTTGAAATATACATGTATGTATGACTGAGGTGTGAGTTGTTTTCCTCTAGTGAGTCCCGTAGGTTTCCCACACGCACACACATCTGTTTTCTTATAAAGGCGCCCTGAGGTTATCTCATCAATCTCTCCACTGGGTCAGCCGGTGAGTAGTCCGCCAGAGAGGAAAAGCGGCTACAAGGACACCGGCTCTGCAAAAAGAAGGCAAACTGACACAAACCCTATCCAACGCCTCTGGCCAATAACTACTACTTAACTTAACTTAACTTACTACAAAAAATGTAGAGATGAAGATTTTGTCCACTAGTCGTAATCAGACTAAGTTTTCTGAAAAAAAAATCTAACCTGGCGCTGGCAGAGACGTAGTTAACCAGCTGTATGTTGAAACTCTTGTTTAGTAAAACCTTAAAAATTGTCTGCACCTTTTCTAGATTCCTGCTGTGTGATACATTTTTCAATGTCATTTGTATACTATAGTTGTTATTGGTGTATAGATCCATAATGGTGGTTTTGATTCCTAAAGCTCCACAGCCGATACTTGGCTAACCTAAAGTAGTCCTTTCGTCAAAACAAGGCGTATTACAAGTGTATAATGTGCCAAGTACTCAGAGCAATCACTGAGATGGTAAGCGAAACTCAATTCCATCCTAATCATTGAATGTAGATAACTGCCTACCTGCCTTTTTTTTCCTGTGCGGAAATCCCCGAATGTCGGACTCAAACCGACCAAAAACCGCACGCCGTCTCGGGTACCAGTAGCCGGCTAACCAGGTGTACCCTAGAAACTAAATCAAAACGACGTACCCCGGGCCATCCACGGCGTGTAGATGGCCTCCTCCTGTGTGGGAACCCCCATGTTCCCTTTGTGCTCCCAAAAGGGTGCGCGCTCGGCAGCGCGTCTCGCCGCTACTCCGGCCTGCTTCTGCTAGGCTAGCCTCACCTGTCACCCCCAGGCCTGCGCTTATGGAGGACGGAGGTCGTTCTGCGGTACCTGGTCCGTTCCCGGGCCTGGTGGGCCGGGAGAGTTCTAAACCTCTCCCGGTCCCGCTCCGCCATCTCCTTCGCAAGCATAACTTGCTCGCAGAAAGAGACGGCGGAGTTCCTCGCGCTCTCGCTGCGTACCGTGGTGGCAATCATACTACCGAGCAAGAGGACTCCCACCCCGATGGCCATCACGAGGTCACGCCTCTGCTCCACCCACGCCGGGAATTCTGCCAACGTGTGAAGGGCCGTGTCCACGGTCCGGCCATCGCAGTGGTAGCACTCAGGCGTTGGCTCCTTGCGGATCAGACACAGGTGATCTCCGAACCAACCTTTTCCGGTGATCACCTGCGTCAGTCAGTATGAGAGGGTTCCGTGACGCCTCTCGAGCCAATCCTCCATAACGGGTCTTACCGCCGCAATAACGGCGTGCCCGAGATAACTGCCTACCTGGAATCGCCTCTGTCGGTTTACATTCCTACCAGGCTTCAGACTATACTAGAGCGCGTCTTCAGTACGAGACATTATCTCAATTCAAGATGAACAACGAGCCAACGTAACTCGGCACTAGTCTTCATGCTATTTGTGTAAGTCTACGAGTAGAACTAGTCCTAACACTCGTGTGCCGATAAATTAAGACGGACATTCCCATCTTATAATCCTCCCGGTGTTAACCTGTCTGTCAGTTTAAAATAACGGGTGCCTTCCTGCCAGGCTGTCTACTATACTCTGCGTACTAGAGCACATCCTCGATACTGAAGAATTTTCTCAATTTAGTATGAGCAACGAGCCAACATGACTCGGCGCGAGTCTTCATGTCACTTGTGTATGTCTTCGAGCTGAACTAGACCCAACACTTTACAGCGTGTCGATAAATTTAGACGAACGTCTTAAAATCCTATCGGTGTTAACCTCCGGCACGTAATGTAAGTGAAGTCGGCTTAATGTAATATATTATTGATACTATTTCGATATTAAAGCTGTTGATTTTCCTTCAAATAAAAATCTATTGGGACATTGGGAAACAGAACTAATATAAATTTTATATAATTTAACACTTTTTTTACCGTGGTAGAGCCATGCTTCGGCACGAATGGGCCGGCTCGACCGGAGTGATACCACGGCCTCACAGAAAACCGGTGTTAAGCAATTCTTTCGTTGCCTTTCACTGAGTGAGTGGGGTTACCGGAGCGACACTGACTCGCTCCGGTAACCTCACTCCAATGGCAGCAACGCACTTGTGACTTGAGTTGCATATGTCCATGGGCGGCGGTAGTTGCTTACCAGCATGTGACAGGTCTGCTCGTTTGCCCCCTTATAACATAAAAAAAAGACAATCACTTACTGGAGTGTACAGGCAAACTCAAATTCACAAATAAAAATAATACTAAACAAAACATAATGTACATACACTGATTCCACGACAATTACAACACTTATAACTCAATATTCTAGCAAAACTAAGCGTTGGTTTCACACTTTCCTCATTTAATGATGATACACACTTCCATCATAAATGACTAATACAGTGTTGATTTTAAAACAATAATGCCTAATTTATTGTTAAATGACACGATTCTTCCTATAGCTGGTAACGTAAGTAATGTACCTTTTATAATATTCAACAGTATTAAAAAGTATGATGAAAAAGTATTTGATGACACTTTTTGAAATTTATTGATATTTGTGCTTTGCTCAGACGCCGGTTGCGTTAACGCTTTTCTTTACATCATCACATCACATCACATCAACAGCCTTTAATAGTCCACTGCAAGACATAGGCCTCTCCTTAGAAAGGAGGTTTTTGACCACTATACTACGCTGGCCAGACGTGTTGGTATAGGGTTTGTGTCAAGTTTTCCTTCTCTTTGCTGTGCTGTTGTCTTGCAGTTTGCTCCCTTAGTCGGCTCGTACGACACCAACGGGTTGAATAGAGGTGTGATGAAACTCCGTATTCTTAATCCGTCACCACTTTTCTTTAAGGACATAGGTATATTTTATTTTACTCGCTTACATGCTGACGCAAAATGGCGCGCGTTTTCAGGATTAGTTGGCGCACATTGTCATCATAACCAGGGACATGCGTTAGGTAAAGGTATTGCTTTCAACCTTACAAAAATCCAGCACTCTGTAATACAAGGGTAAGGACATCAACAGACCAGGCAATAAAAAGCATATTTATATGTTATTTTATTATTATATTTTAAAAATTATATTTAAAGTTATACATAGTTATAATATTTATTATAACACGTCTAAAGTTTTTTTTTATGTAAGACTGGGCAAACGAGCAGAAGGGTCACCTGATGGAAAGCGACTACTGCAACTCAGGAGTCGTATGCGAGTTGGCGGCCTTTTAGGAAGGAGTAGTAGCCTTTTTAGGAGTAGAAGTAGTAGTACTCTTTTCTTGAAGATTTGAAGGTCTGGAAATACTGCAGACGAGAAATTGTTCCACAGATTGTTTCATTGGTTCATGGATCTTTATAAATTCGCCTTTTCCTCTAATATAAACTTATTTTTAGTAGCTGATACCCGTATCAACGGTTTCATAATTTTTTCCTGTATAAAGCGTAGCCTTTTGGACACCTACAAGTTTTATTTTCGTGACCAAAACCAGTGTCTGCATTATTGTATAGTCCGATCGATAACCCTATACTAAAATTAATTAAAATTGTTTTAGAGGTTTCGGCGTGATAACATTGTTAATATATAGACAAATTAACATGGTCACTTTCGCCATAATTATATTACACATAAACATTATTATAAATGAGAAAGTGTGTTTGTTTGTTACGCTTTCACGCATAAACCACTAAACTGATTTAAAAAATCTCTCAACAAATGAAAGCTACATTATCAGCGAGTAACATAGGCTACTTTTCACCATGATGACCAACATAATATTTACCTCACTGGTCAAATTTCATCAGCATTATATCAGCGCTTAACTGTCAGATATATTACTTAACCTCTCGATAAATCGTCAATGTTAGTCCCTCAAGAACATAAGTTAGAAAACTAGTACATCTCCAACTCATTATTCAGAAGACCTAACCTTTTTCACCCTACATTTAATGCCATTGGAATACACAGTGACAAAGCAGCAAGTACCCAGTAGCGACAACTAAATGCCCCAACATGACTGGAAAACCTATCTTGAAGAACTGCAAGAAGGTGAACCCATAACCGTGTCTCTCAGCCACTCCTGTGCATATCACGTTTGAGCTTGCTCCTATTAAGGTACCGTTACCTGAAAAGAATATTCGCAAACTGCATGTCAAGATTTTAATTAAAACTTGCAGATTCTTTTCTGGCTGACTTGATCGGAGTGGACCACAGCCTCACTGGAAACCGTTTGTAAGCATTTTTTTCTTTGCTTGTTACCGAGTGACTGAGGTTACCGTAGCCACAAATTCCTAAATTATTAGTACAGCAGAATGTGATAAACTAAATTAAATACAATTTAAACTGGTTGTCTGTACTGTGTCTAACTGATAAACACCATCACACAGGATAGCTATCACAGCACTGTTGTGATGATTGCAAATTGATGATGAAGAGTAAAATTTAGTAATCGAATGACCTCGTTACGTTCTTCGTGCGCAACCTATTATGCGCACCTTACACGTGTGTGTGTGTATAACTTGTATACTTGTGTGCATCCGAATTGTTCTTAAGAAGTAAACTCCAGTCGTGCGTCGGAGTCGACGTCTGACACACCCTTTTTATGGCAGATTTTAGCAAATGAGTAGACCGGTCACCTGATGGAAAATGACTACCGCCGCCCATGAACGCAAGCAAATCAGGAGTCAAAAGTGCGTTGCAGGCCATTGAGGAAGCAGTACGCTCTTTTGTTGAAGTTTTGAAGGTCATATCCGTCTGGCAATACCGCAGACGATAATTTGTTCCACAGATTGGTTGTACCCTGATGAGTAATCAAAATACGATCTCTCTTGTTTTGTGACTTGTGTGTCCTTTAGGAGGCGGTAGTCACTTTCTGTTAGACAGTTATCGGACAGGATTGGAACTCAAGTTTTATGGTCAAGATAAAATCAATTGGCCTGTTGGGTTTGTGGTTAGTGACCCTGACTGCTAAGCTAGAAATCGTTGATTTCCACACAGAGCAAATAATTGTGTGATGAGCACGGTCTTTGTTCTGTGTCTGGGTCTGGCTTCCATAGTACAGGCTTTGCCTAGTGTCAAACAGCCGTGTGTGAGATGTGTAAAACTATAATTATTAATTCAATTACTTACCTCCTAAACAAACACCAAATGAAAGTGCCCATATGAGCGGTGTCATGGGCAGGTTGAGGGTGGGGTTCGTGCCCAGTGACGTCACCACCCTGATCATCATGGTCGTCAGGGGAACGTTGTCAACAAAAGCTGAAGTCATTCCTGATACCTGGAATAAATGATAACTTACAAGAAGAGATTCGATACCAATCAATCCCCTCACAATTTTGAATTTGCTTAGCAATACATAGGTCCGTGTGGTGATGGATTAAGAATACGGAGTGTCACCGCCCTTGTGGGTGTCGTAAGAGCCGACTAAGGGAGTAAACTACTCAGGACAACAGCACTGCAAAGAGAAGGAAAACTTGACACAAACCCTATACCAACCCTTCTGGACAGCGTCGTTTAGCAAGGCGAAACCTCCTTTCTAAGGCCTATGACCAGCAGTAGACTAGACTTGTTGACAGACAGTGGACTTGAAGCCTATGTCCAGCCTTTAACAATCCACTGCTGGACATAGGCCTTTCCTTAGAAAGGAGGTTTATTAAGCGGTTTATCTATAAGTAACTAATTTATTTATAAATTCTGTTTCACCAAAGAAAATAAAAGATGAAAGTATAGGAATGAAAACAGTAAAAGATATTGTACGAAAATTTAAATACCTACCCACACCATCAAAACTAATGCAACTGCAAGACGATTCTTCTCATCAACTTTTAATATAAGAGCTTCAGTCCATCCGCCTATGAAGTCTATCAAACCGAGTTTGGCTAATGCCTGCAAATACAGAACTAGTAAATAAAAATAGGACTACCGATACTAGTCTCCTAGAGATGGAAATTCAACCTTAATTCGATAGGTTAACCTCTGCTGCGTACTTAAGTACAAAGAAGTTAAGTTAGGGGAAGTCATTTCCCATGGGATAGGGCCTGATTAGGCGTGGTGTCATTTCGGGGAGGACGTGAAATTACATGGTCCGGGTCCTCTCAGAGTAGGACGCCCAAGTCTGGACGTCGGGGAGATTTTTAGTGGAATCACCACATACTCCTCCTCCTAAATACCCTAGAAGCGGGAGATCTGAAGAGATTTTCCACCCCGTCAACAAAAAAAAAGAGAACACAGCAGAGGTTAGACTTAAATAGACAGAAGTAATAATTATATTAAATGAATTACAGTTTTTAAAATGGTCTTTAGGCAAAAACTTGAGACATTTATTTTAAGTACTTATATTTATTTGTGTGTAAAATGCAATATAAAAATATAGTCCTTAAGTTTTCGCCATCGGTGGTGGTAATTTTTCTTCAAATTAAAATAGGATAAAGCGGGAAATGTTTTCTCCCAATTACACAAAGAATTGCCCCAAATCGGTTCAAAGTGACGGAGTTCTGAGAACAATCGAATTGAGAACTACCTCTGAGATTTTTTTTAGAAAACGTTTAAAACTAAGCTTAAATGTATGAAATTGACAATATACCTGAGTAGAATTTTGCCACTTTAAGTGATATCTGTCAAAAACTCAGTGACACTGAAGTGGCTTTTAATGATTAGGTATTAGTTCAAATTTGACGTTCTGTGATATTTTGTTAGCATTATTCACCTCCATAAGAACGAAGAGCGCTGCAAAAAACAGTAAGGTAGACCACTCTACTTTATGCAGCACTGGCTCCAGGTCCTCGCGGTCTGCCAGCGTCAGCAGCAGCAGGGCGCCGAGTAGGGCTGTCCAACCCAGGGACACGCGGTCTGGTGATATTAGAAGTTATAAAAATTCAAGCGATCGTGGTTACTTGCGGCTCAAGCCAAAAACTTTGGTCGAATAGAAGGAAAAGTTGAAACAAACCCTATACCAACCCGTCTGGCCAGCCAGTAGGCCAAAACCTCCATTCTAAGGAGAGGTCTATGTCCAGCAGTGGACTACTAAAGGCTATTGATGAAGTAACTGATACACTGCAAATTCTCTTTTACGAACACTAAAATCTCATTCTCTAACAGTCTAACGTGTAACCCAAAATAAAGAGATGTTCCGATTTCTTCTTATGGTATAAGGGGCAAACGAGCAGACTGGTCACCTGATGGTAAGCAACTACCGCCGCCCATGGACCCCTGCAACTCAAAAGTCACAAGTGCCTTGCTGCCCTAGGAGTCCTTCCCGCTGGATCGAGCGGGAGGGACTCTAAGGGCAGCAACACTCTTGTGACTTTTGAGTCAAGGGACTCGATTAAATTTAAATAGCTCTTGCATCAAGACATCGACAAATGAGATCGTACAAAGAATGTATTGAGATGACTGTCGATTGATTGATGATGAAAACGAGGCTATTTCCATGAAGGCTACGCTTAATGCTTGCCGCCATTAAAGTATCCAGCTAAATCCTTGAAATAAGGACTGAAAATGATGTTAATTTTGATGACGGTAGTGATGACAGTGGTGATGTTGATTATGAGTGTTTGTTTTCAGAAATCGATGTTAGTAAGATTTCTTAAAGAAATTAATTTGTGAAGGAATAGAGAAGTTAAATATACTTTATTTTCATCATCAGCCTATCGCAGTGCACTGTTGGACATAGGCTTCTCCCATTGCACGCCACTTCGATCAACATATAGTACTTACTGAATTCAGGCAGGGAATGTAGAAAGAACGCTATCACGACAAATCCAAGAGCGACAGCACATTTTAGCAGAAGTGGTTTATCTCTGATCTGGTACTGTTAAAATAAAATAAATAACCTTAAATATACTAATGTGGAGACTCCTACATGGAAAGAATCGGAAACATACTACAGCGCCATGTAACGAATACACACCGAACAACGGAGTAACTCCTGACTGAGAATTACTAATCCTGAATCGCAATATGAAGAATTCTCTCGCCGATTAGCATAAATACAAGTTTCCAACCTCAACCGGTGAGGTGCGGCCCGCCAGGCATGATCACCTCGCCTGGTCGGAGGATCCTTCCTTTGTGTTGGAGGGACATGACACCCGTCCCTCTACACTAATATTGTAATATAACTTTTACCAGTCATTAATTTATAACTCTTATATCGCCGAACGGGCACTGGATTGAAACCAGCAAGCAAAATGTGGCCGCTCAAAGCAATTTTGGCGACGCACAGTCGCATATGAGGTAAAGAGAATCAGCAACGACGTAAAGTGCGAAGCTCAGGCACCGTCTGTCCCATTCGGGTACACACAATATTAAGTCGGTAAGTCAATCTTTTCATTTTAACCCTTTCCGTTTATCAGACTTGTCAAGATTCCAACCCATCTCAACTTTCATTGGTATAATAAAACATATCATAGGTGATCAGAGACTGCCTCATATTCAAACTTTCAAAATAAACGTTCTTGTGACATTAGCATAAACATTTATTTTAAGTCAAGCAGCTGTTGCTGATTCAATCAATAAAATACTTAAATACAATGCAGTAAGTTAATAATTGCCATTTAGGTGAGGTAGAGCTTGGTAAACATTGTGTCGAGTTATTACGACATTAATATGTGGATATGTATTACGTCTGGGACTGGGATTCTATAAAAGTATTATTGTTCTGTGACTGGGATAGTCAAAAACGCATCATACTGTCAGCATCAGTCAAACTGTAAACTGTCAGATGACAGCTAATTAATGTATGGTAGGCCGTGTGATTGACAGGGTTAACTAACAAATCTGTTAATCTGTATCTATTTAATAGATCTAATATTATTTGTATACCTTTTGTCTCATATCAGCGAGCACATTCTCGAAGCAGACCTTTGGACAGGGTCTTTTCCTAGAGTCCGAGACCAGAGTATCCAGTTCAGCAGTGAGCTTACGTATTTTACGCTCCAAACACTTGCGCACCACGTGCTCATCGCGAGACAAATTCGAGAGAGACTCTGTTGCACGCTGCCACATCGAAATTTGGTTTCTGAGACCTGAAAAGATGATGAAGTCATTTGAAAATAGATTATTGAAATCCAGAATACGACAGACAGACAGCAGGAGACAGACAGACATCAACACAAAATGAGACAAGCCACTAGATGTAATTTGGATAGAAAGATATTATATATAATAATAATAATAATATAAAAAAATTGCTGTTCCGATGTGTAAAACAGATCAAAAATTTAAGGACAATTTTATTCAAAAGGTTCTTTTTACACGCTACTTGTGACAATCCTAATAAATGCAAATTAAATATGTACCTATATAAATATGTGTGTCTAAGTACAAAAGTTTGATTCACATTCGATTCAGTGTATGCGATCGTAAAAGCCGACTAAGGGAGCAAACTATGCAGGGCAACAGCACTGCAAAGAGAAGGAAAACTTGAAACGAACCCTATACCAACCCGACTGGCGAGAATGGTATAGTAGGCCAAAACCTTATTTCTAAGGAAAGGCCTATGCCCAGCTGTGGACTATTATGAAAGGCTGTGGATGTGATTTTTATTATATTATTTGACGATGGACCGACGCTGGCAGCTGATAGATAGACTGCCCAAGACCAGAATTTGTTTCAGTTTCAGTTTGCACTCCTTGGGGGAGGCCTTCTTTTAGCAGTGAACTGGCGATAGGCTGATGATGACAATGGTGATTATTATATTATAATATTTGTAACTTACCTAAGATCTCTCTCGATTCTGTCAACATCAATTTTCTAGTGTCTCTGAATATGAACCTGAGATGCAAATAGGTCTGGACACATACCAGAAGAACACCAACGGTCATGTGAAGAGAGAAATTGGTGAAGTTTATGCCCTGAAGGAGAAGATTAATATCAATAGACTGGCCTCTTTGTCTTCTGGTTAATGATCCCGACTGCTAAGCCAGAGGTCGTGGGTTCTATTTTTTTTTTTTATTTTACACACTGAACACATACATAATTATATATAAGTAACAAGGAAAAGTCATGTACAAAGGCGAGCTGAACCCAAAACTGAGTTCGATTCCCACTCAGGAGAAATAATTGAGCATGATCATTTCTTGTTGGTCTGGTGCAATTTATCTATAGCCTCATCACCTGGATAGTTGCACTACTGTGCGCTTTTCGAGACAATTTTGGCTTCGCACAACCAATCTGTGGAACGGGTTATCGTCTGCGCTTTTTACGGACCGATACGACCTTCAAATTTTGAAGAAAAGGGCGTACACCTTCCTAAAAGGCCGGCAACGCGATTGTGACTTTTTTTTTGTTTTTGTGGCTCCTGAGTTGCAAACGTTCATGGGCGGCGATGGTCACTTTCCATCAGGTGACCCGCCTGCCCCCTCCATAATAAAAAAGGCAGCTTTTGCCTGCGGCTCCTTCCTCAAGATTCGAACTATCCCCATACCAAATTCCATCTAAATCCGTTCAGCGGTTATTAATTCCTCATACAAACTTCTAGCCCCCTTTTTACCCCCTTATAGTACGATTTTTGGGATAAAACCTATTTTATGTCCTTTCTTGGGATTCAAACCATCTTTGAAAAGCGGTGTAAAACAATTCTTGCTTTGCTTCACACCAAGTGTAAGGTTCATAAAGCACCGAACCCCCTACCCTCCTAATTCTTGGAGGACGGACTCAAAGGACGCCAGCATACTGGTGACTTTTAGCTACATGTTTCCATGGACGACGATAGTCACTTACTATCAGCAGTGTTATTCTCTAAAGAAACGGTCTTGCGTACAACGCTGCCACAGCGTCGAACTTCAAAATAAGTTCGTTTGAAATTCGACGTTGTGACAGCGCTGTACGCAAGGCTGTGTCCTTAGAGAATCTGTCCGCTCGTAGGCCCCTTATGCATATAGACATCTGACACACAACGCCATCTAATTTCAAACTAAGCAGAGCTTGTACTATGAAAGCTAGATTGACTGATAGAATGCTTGTACGTTTTTTTTAACACATACATATTATCCATAGAAAACACCCAAACTCCGAAACAAATATTTGCAGATCACACAAACATTTGGTCCGATTCGGGAATCGAACCCGAGGCCTCGCTTACACCACCACTGCGCCACCGAGGCAGTTGTATGAATATAAATATAAAATCATACTTACAGCCTGAACAACAAGTTTATTAGAAACTATGATGACGTTAGGCGGGTCACCGACAGGTGTTGCTGTACCTCCCAAGTTACAGAACAGTACCATGGCCATCAGCACTGGAATTGGGTCCATGTTCATTACTTCACAGAGCCTGGTCAACGGAAAGGAGACTAATAATTAAAAAATGAAGAAAACTCTTTTATTGGTAATTATTTGAAGCGGATTCCATAGAGTAGTTTATTTTTTATTTATTTATTTTAAAAAAAGACAACTCCCGCATTAGGAATAATTCCTGTGTCGCGGGGGACTTTACAAACATACATGAAACGAACACAAATAACACCCAGACTCAGAACAACAATTTGTGGATCACACAAAGTATCGTCCGATGTGGGGTTTGAACCCACAACACTCGGCGTAGTAGGAAGCGGCGTGGTGACGGCTTAAGCCACTATACCATCCGTGCAGTCAAAGTTAATGATGATAATAACTCCACACATCTCACACACAACTGTCTGATCTCCAACTATGCAGAGCCTGTACTATGTACATACATATTGTAGATAAACTACACCCAGACACAGAACAAAGATCATGCTCATCACACTGATATTTGTCCTGGGGGGTGGAATGTAACCCACGACCTCTGACTTGAGCAACAGGTCCGTAATTTACAAATATCAATCAATCAATCAATCAATCAATCATTTATTCATTGCTGAACATAATACATAGTCATGTAACATCTAAGGTGTCATTGGATGCAAAGTAAATCATGTTCGGCCGATTAAGGCATGCAAAATTAGTCCCTCAGTAACATTTCAATTGAAAGCATACAATACCCATTAATATCATGTCCACAAAATTGTCAAAATATGTCAAAAGATACAAATACAAATTAAATAGGGTTTAACAGGCAGAATTACACCAATAACATAAAGAAAAATTATAAAAGTAACATAATTTCATAAATTGTCAACATATTTATACATAATATTTATAAATTAAATTCAAAACCATACAATATATTATTATACGTATTTGTCAAGTCTGTCTTTATACAATAATATCCTTTTACATTGCTTTTTTTCAAATTTTGTCCACTAAGTATTCATCTATTGTATAATAAACCTTATTAACCAACAGGCTCATTAGTTTTGTCTTAAAAATGTTATTATTTGCAATTTGTAAGAGAGATTTTGGAAGTTTGTTATATATTTTTGGTGCCATTCCTAGTAGGTTTTTCTTAAATATCGTTTTATTATGTAGGGTAAAACTAATTTTATGATTATGTCGTGCACTATTTAAAGTCTCAAAAAGATAGAAATTATTCCTTATAAACATTACCATCTCATATATGTATAAACAAGGTAATGTTAATATATGAAGTGACAAGAAGTGAGGTCTGCAGCTATCAGTCATCTGTATGCCGCATATCGCTCGAACACATCTTTTTTGGGCTTTGAAAATACTTTCCCTGTTTGTTGAATTCCCCCAATATATAACACCATATCGCAATGTAGATGTAACAAAAGCGTGATATGCTGTAAGTGCGGTTTTCATATATATACATTTATCATTAACTTTTACTAGTCAACTGATAGGAATCGGCCTCTCTTTAGAAAGCAGATTTTAGCCTGCTACACCACGCTTGCCAGACGTTCATGGGCGGCGATGGTCACTTTCCATTAAGTGACCCATCTGCTCTGCCCCCTCTAACATAAAAAAGCAATAATTTTTGTATTCTCAACTAACTGATCTTTGCTACTTAGTTTTTGTCTCTTGAAATATTTTTTCCCCATTTTTGCAACATTTTCCGCTGATGGTCCACTCCTTATGGTCGTAGTGTAATGTTATATAGCCTTCCCCAAGAACTCTAAAATATTAATTTCAATCCGAACCAGTAGTTCCGGAGTGTATAAGCGTATTCAACCAAACCAACAAACAAGGAAACTCTTCAGTTTTATAAAATTAGTATAGATTATTGAAAGCTGTCCCACTCCCTATAAAAAAAGAGTAACTACACTCAATGACTGTAAAACTAACTTAAATAAATAAAAAAAAACGGTGTGAGTGGTCTATGGACCCCCGGTCAGAACGAAGTTCTTTTCGCTTTTTGGTAGGCGTATAGTGTCGGAAAAAGTCTTGTTACACATTTTTCGACCTCGCTCCCATCCGCTTAGGGCGTGGTACGCGCGATGAGGAACTTCTTTCCAAAAACAACAATCGTCATCATCATCATCTGCTGCTGGACATAGGCCTCTCCTTAGAAAGGAGGTTTTGACCTACAAAAACCACAAAAAAAACTTAATACCGTATGGTTACAGGAGTCATGAAGAGCACGGTGGTGACGTTGTCAAGTAACAGAGACACCACAGAAGTGATGGCACACAGCGACGTTATCAGCGGCCATATCCTGCCTTCCGCGAACTGAAATAACAAGTTGAAATTGTTTTTTGGATGTAATACTAAAATGCTTAAGATGTTAACACTTTCACATAAAGTATTTATGTGTAATATAAGACACGAATATCTACTATTTAAAGGCAAGAAGGTTAAGAGAAGATATTCTTTCTTAGAGGAGACGTTGCTTCAGAAAATTGTCCAATGCTAATCCATATTATCATTTATCACACAATTACGGTGACGGATTAAGAATACAGAGTGTCACCACCCCTATTCATCCCGTGGGTGTCGTAAGAGGCGACTAAGGAAGCAAACTACGCAGGACAACAGAACTGCAGAGAGAAGGAAAACTTGAAACAAACCCTATACCAACCCGTCTGGCCAGCTTGGTATAGTAGGCCAAAACCTCCTTTCTAAGGAGAGGCCTATGTCCAGCAGTGGACTAGTAAAGGCTGTTGATGATGATGATGATGATGATATTGATTCTGGGTGGCAATTGAGAACCCGACCTCTGGCTCAGACCAAATTACAAATCAACAGGCTTAAACAAGACTTATTCCTCCGAGGCTTTACCCTTACTATGTTGAGGTCGCCTTTAAGTCTACTATGATACGGCTGAACTTCAATTTTTTACGCGGAGCGACTGCCATGAGAACTCTACAAGAGTCAACAGTCAACAAATCTACAGTACTCCGATATCGTCTAGTACTTGACTAGGCAATATCGGAATTCTGTAGATAGACTATTTTCGGACTGTTTAGGGTTTTAACTACCAGTAACGATTGCCATAGATGTTCGTATGGCAATCGGAGTCCGAGACCGACGGCTCAACGCACTTTCCAAGAATGGTCACCCATCCATAGACTGACCTGGCTAGGGTTGCTTAACTTTGCAATGTATTAACCTACTCGGTTATCACTTACCACTTAGCCCTGTTTGGTTTAAATAGGACTAACAATATATTTTATAGGCATTTTTTGTATAAAAAATCTAAAAGTTTCTAAAGTTATTTTTACATATTTTGACAAAGTTAATTTGCTGTTAGTAAAAAGTTAAACCAATAAACTGATACCTGAAATGTAAGGACAGCAATATAATCAAATATCCCTGTCTCTGTCATCAATGCGACCAGCAGCATCATACTGAACAGCAGCAGGAGTGTCTCCACGTCGACCCATGTCACAAGCTCTGTCAGCGTTGGTCTCTCACCAGCCATAGACAAGACAGCTAGAGATGCAGTAGACAATAAGAGAGCTGCCATTGTTCTGTTGATGATCTGAAAAGTGGACATAGTCGGTCATATTCCACCATAGTCATATCAAACACCTACCGAGGGTGACGATCAAGAATAGCATGACACGATACACTTACGCCATCTAGTGAGAACTAACTGAATTACGTACTGACTAATAATCTTGCATCGTGCTTTTAAAGTCCTGACTCTGATTAAATTTTAACTTCAAGTTCAACTTTCACCGAGTGCGTGAAGTTACCAGAGCCCAACCAGGAGGCCCGGAGCTCTCGAGAATTAGGTGGAAGCCTAATTCTAGGGCGACTTAAAGGACGACAATGCAATTGCGATTTTTGAACTGCAGGTGCGCATAGATGGCGGTAGTTCCTTAGAAAATGGTACTGTAATGGAATGTAATGATATTTATTTCTTCAAGTAAATCTTTTTACAAGTCTGACTTTAAAGCTAGAATGCGCCGGCCTGTAACCTGGATGATCACAAATATTAATAATAGAAAAATAACTCACCTCAAAAATAATTAGGACATACAACGTGCACAGCAGTACCATAGCATAAATGATTCCAGCGGTAGGATCGAGGGGGTCGACCGTATAACTCAGGGTGAAGGGCACAGTGACATTGGAGTTGGAGCTCATTCTCACTGCGTACATAGTCCTATTCGTGTAAGTAATATCTAGCTCCAGGGTCACCGAACGCGTCTGGCTTTCTTGAAAGTCTATTTGATTTGCATTTTCAAGTAAAATTATCCACGGCCGTGAGAACTGAAAAAAATAACTAATGATAAATGATATTTATTTCTGTAAGTAAATCTTTTCAGATATTTTTACAAGTCGGACTTTATAGCTAGAAGGAGCCGGCATTTCCTAAGACTCACTTTGGGAAGAAACACCGAAACAAACAGCAGAGGTGTCTTTTTTTTTAAGTCCGTAAACAAAGTTAAATAAAACTGTGCGAGTACAGTATAGGGTCTGGATAGGCCTTTTGAGGAAAGGACCATAGTTTTGAGTCAGCCGTCCATACAGACGGCATACAGGCTCCAGCCATCGTGTAGCCTAACCGATATTGGATCAATAAGATCAACGACCTGAAGCATGACACTACCGCCAGCAGGACATTTGGGTAGGCCGTGGAAACACTCAAAACCACCACAAAGATAATAAAATATGAATTAACATTACAAGCCTACACTATACTAACATTTACATACTTACACAAAAAATAAAAAAATACTATACAAAGTCAACGAAAAATAAAATACGAAAACAAAATACGAAATACACCAACACACACACAACTAACATAATATGTCTGCTGTTTATAAACAAGGACAAACGAAACATACACCTCTACAACGAAAAGATAGGCAGAGAGATATATTAACCGCCCACGTTTTGCAGAATATAATTTCAGGTCTCATTTCCCTCCTCCTCCACAGCCTTTAATAGTCCACTGCTGGACATAGGCCTCTCCTTAGAAATAAGGGTTTGGCCTTTGGTATACACCGCACTAATCAGACCGTTTGATATAGGGTTTTTGTCAGATTGTCCTTCTCTTTGCAGTGCCGTTATCCTGCTCAGTTTGCCCTCTTAGTCGGCTCTTATGACACCTACAGGATAAATGTGGCTAGCGACACTATATTGTTAATCCGTTACCACACAGAAAAATTCCCACGTCCCAATAATAAGAGTCGGGCCTGTTGCTGATAACCGGGCAGTTTAGTGAGTAAATGGAAAATTGGGAGTTCAATATGCAACGAAAAGCAGGTAAGGATGGCAATAAAAGGTAAACAAAATAATCAAAAATAAAAATAAAAACCCGACACGTCTTAGATTTGAAATTTGTCATAGTGTAACTGTATATATAGTTTTTTACTAGTCGAGCTCTTTCATTTGATTCTTGAGGGAGTTGTGAAAAAAATATAATCCACCATTTTGTGCCGGCGGCCATCTTGGATTGATTTGCCTCAAACATAGCTAAGAATACTTCCGACTAATTCACCTTTCAAACGAAATAAAAACAAAATCATTATCGGTTCATCCGTTCAGGAGCTACACACACATAGGCACGTCAAACTAATAACACCCCGTCGCTTTTGGGTCAGGGTTTAAAAAAAAAATTGCTTATGCAGGGATTTTACTGCCGTAAAAGTAATAGGCGACAGTGTATGGACAGTAATACTGCAGTGAATCGACAGTCTATTGTTACAATATTAAAACTGCAGAATTGAGGTCCTGATGTAAAGTCACTGCCAGCGTCCATGAATACAGGCATCTTAAGAGACACAAGTGCATTACCGCTCTTAATGCCCCCTTCAAGAATGGGCGGGAGCCTTTCCCTTATTGAATTTGTTACAAAATCACGCCTTACAAACAGTTTCGGTCTCGCCTCCACATCCCTTACACTAGCTCCCTCGTACTATACCTTTTTCTTACCCCAATTTACTTTCTGTAAAAGATTACATATATCCGTGTGGTGGCGGATTAAGGATACGGAGTGTCACCACCCCTGTTCATACCGTGGGTGTCGTAAAGAAAAATCGCAAAGAGAGATAACTAAGCAGGACAACAGAAACACTGCAAAGAGAAAGAAAACTTGAAACAAACCCTATACCAACCCGTTGGGCCAGTGTGGTATAGTAGGCCAAAACCTCCTTCCTAAGGACTTGCCTATGTCCAGCAGTGGACTATTAAAGGCTGTTGGTGTGATAATGTGATATCCAAGGACTGCACGGATGGCGTAGGGGTTTAAGCGGCGACCTCGCCGCTTCTTCTGCCCTAAATATTATGGGTGCGATCCCCACATGGGACAAAACTTTGAGTGATCCACAAATTTTTGTTTTGAGTGTGGGAGTTCTTTGTCCGTTTCATGTATGTTAGTCAAGTCCCCCGCGACATAGGATATATTCTTAGTGCGGGGAAGGTCTTTCTTTAAAAAAAATAAAAAAGGATCCAGCCATAAAAGAATTCAACATAAACTCTTTGCAAAGTTACATATTGCGCTGAACCGAACTTAAATTTGGAAAATTCAGGAAAGTAATACTGATGATTATGGTACTTTTTATCCAGAAAGAAAGTACTGCAAAGTCTAAAGATACGCAGAAAAAGACGTGAGCTAAAGCCTTTCCTCTTCTCACTCACTCTTCTTCTCACTCTGTTCCTCAATTACTAGTTGATAATAACACACATAAACTCACTTGAATTACGTCGATATCATCTGCACCTGTAGGTCTTATTACATCTTTCTTCAGGTGCCACTTCTCAAGCCAGACTCGCATCACAGTGATATTCGACTTGACACTGTCGTTTAACTTCTTCTCATACTGTTCTGATATAAAGGGGCCTGTCAGCTTCAGGTATATCGATAGCTTTGCCTGCTCTGTATCGAGGATGTAGTCTGAAAAGGATGTTTTTTTTTTTACAATGTACGAACGGCAGTAGAGTTAAAATGAAATGTGTAAACGTATTTTTTATGTTCTAGAATCTTCTTTGTCGTACGGAGACCCTTTCGGACCATCACCCCACCAGGGTTTGAATGAACATTGAAATTAGGAAAAAAATATTTCGGAGTATTTGAGCACTCCCTGAAAGCGCAATAAACAAACTAACAAAATCACTTTAATATTTACAATATAAGTATGGAAGTATGGATAAGTGGATTTTTTTTTAATTTTTGCTCCATCGATTTATCATACGGAGTCGTATATGGACATTTATATGTATGGCAAATATACATACATTTATGGACTTGACTAAACACTATGAGCGTACAGGAAAAATTAATTATTTTTGACCATAACTACAAAAGTGTAATTAACCTTGATATTAAAGCAAATGAAAAAATTCAGAGGTTTCGGAAAGAACTGTAACTTTTACCCTCGGTTTCGCTCGCGTCAGTGTCATTTTTTACTGCGCAGGACAACAGCACTGCAAAGAGAAGGAAAACTGGACACAAACCCTATACCAACCCGTCTGGCCAGCGTGCTATAGTAGGCCAAAACCTCCTTTCTAAGGAGAGGCCTATGTCCAGCAGTGGACATAGGCCTCTCAGAAAAAGGCTGTTGATGTGATGATCCTTCAAGCCTATTTTTCCAAATTACGTTAGGGTCGGCTTTCAGTCGGCGGAGTGAGTTCCATCAGACCTCCACAATCCAAGTACTATGCGATATCGAAGTTCTGAAGAAAGACATTTTAGGAGGACAAAAGTTGTCGGACATTTAAGGCTCCAACCACCCGTAACGATTGCACAAATATTCATATATTAACCGGGACCTACGGCTTAACGTGTCCCAATGTGTTAAGAATGGTCACCCATCCATAGACTGACCTGGCTGGTATTGCTTAATTTTGCAGTGTGTTACTTAGCCACGAGCTTATATATTTCTAAAAAACTTGAAAAAATAGTTACCTTTAACTTCTCCAGGAGCCACTGAGGAATGCCTGATAATTTCAATCTTCTCATCATACATCAGAAACATGACCGTAAAGAAGATCCACATCCCTATCAGAAGAGTTATTTTCACCAAATGCCTCGCTTGTGACATCTGTAAGTTAGTATTTTTATGGTAAATAATAATAATCTTACACATCTCACACGGTTGTTGGCTCCCAAACTAGGCAGAGCCTGTACTATGGTAATTTCAGTAAACAAACACACTCACTTCCACATTTATAATAACTATAATATGAGTAGATATAATAATAATAATTCGGACATCTGACACAACGCCATCTAGTTTCAAACTAAGTAGAGGTTAAGATATGAAAGCTTGATTGACTGATAGAATACTTATATACTTTTTTTGAAGTAAAAATTAAGTTGGCTTGAAGTAAAAATACAACGTAATTTACGCCTTCATAAAGAAAAACAGTATTCACAGGGTTCTTAAGCCTATCACCAAAAAAAAACTAAAATATGTGCCTGTCTTAAACTCTAAAATCCCTGAAAGTAATGAACCTTTTGGGAGGAATTCTTGTGCGTCGGACCAAGTGCAGTTTTTCAAGTAATAGAATATTGCGATGCGGCAACTGAGTTTTCAAACTTGGCGTAGAAGGATTTCCTCTACGATCAAGCCATAAGCTAACTATCTAATAAATTAGTGACCCTGACTGCTACGCCAGAGGTCGAGGGTTCGATTCCCACCCAGGACAAATATTATGTCATGAGCACGGTCATTTGTTCTGTGTCTGGGTAATAATAATAATAATAATAATTTATTTATTTGCTATGAATGTAGGTACATCAAATTACAGATGGAATAGTTTTCATTGAACCGTGTACATTCTGCCTTATAATTAAGCATGCAAAAATCTATAAAATTGGGGTCGATACAAATTAAATTAAGTCTGGAATGGATAAGTACAAAGAAGAAAAGAAAAAAAAACGAGCAATTAATATTTTAGATGTCAATGGTCCGGTCCACAAACTAATCATCAATATAGTGTATGTCAATGCTTCAGAATTACCAAATTACAAGTCATAGGAATTATAAATTATGATTACAAATTTGTATCTATTAAAAAATCATTGATTGTGTAGTAACATTTGTCCATAAGCAAGGCTTTTAATTTATTTTTGAAATTGCCCATTACATCATTTTTTAAGTCATCAGGCAATTTGTTATATATAATGGGACCCATGCAGATAACACTTTTCCTTAGTAACGCCGTTTTATAGGAACCAACACGTAGAAGGTTTTTGTATTGGTTTCTTACAGGTCCTTTTCTAGTTTCTGCCACAGGAGTGAAAAGGTGTTTATTGGTTTTTACAAATATGGCTATTTCTAATATATATAAGGATGGAAAGGTTAGTATTCTAAGGGACTTAAACATTGGTTTACAGCTGTCTGTGGTCTTTGAATTGCACATCGCTCTGATACAGCGTTTTTGAGCTTTAAATATCTGCTCTCTTGAACAACAATTGCCCCAGAATATTATTCCAAATCTTAGAACTGATGCAACCAGACCGTGGTAGGCTAGTACGGTAGTTTGAATGTCAACTTTTTTGGACAAGTTCGAAAGGACATATGCGGATGTATTTAGTCGCTTACAGACGTCCTCTGCTTGAGGTTGCCAATTTAGTTGGCTGTCGATATATATGCCTAAGAATTTAGAAATATGTATTTGATGGATGTTTTGGTTATTGTATTTTACAGTAAAAATTTTTAAAGATGTGCGTTGGTGGAAGTGAATTAAGTTAGTCTTTTGTAAGTTAATTTTCAAATTATTTTTGTCAAGCCAATCGATTATGTCTTTAAGAGTATCATTTATATCCCTTTCATACCCATCCAAATTTTTACATTTTACTATTGCAGTGCTATCGTCTGCAAATAGGACCATAGGGTTCTCGACATGTCGTGGTAGATCGTTGATGTAAATCAGAAAGAGAAGCGGTCCAAGAACACTGCCCTGAGGTACACCATATTGTATAATTCTGCTTTCTGATAGGTATTTTCTTTCGGTCTTAGTCTTTAGACATATTCTACTTATTTCCGTGTGTTGCTTACGATTTTTGAGGTATGATTTTAGGAGGCTGAGCACATTTCCTCTTATCCCATAGACGCTTAGTTTGTTTAGTAGTATCTCGTGATTGACACAATCAAATGCTTTCGTCATATCTGTTAAAATTGCACAAACAGGTATTCTTTTGTCTACGTTTTCCATAACCGTATTTAACAAATCATAAATTGCTGCATTTATACTTTTGTTCTTTCTAAAACCTTTTTGTTCTTTGCACAAAATGTCATGTTTGGATAGGAACTTATTAATTGATTCATAAATTACTTTTTCTACAACTTTAGAAAATACAGGTATTAAGGCTATTGGTCTGTAATTAGCTATATCCTCCTTATTTTTATTTTTTTTGTGGAGCGGTTTAACTACAACTGTCTTTAGGCTATTGGGAAATACACCGGTGGTAATGCTTATATTTACAATGTGGGTAAGATGTACTGCTATATTATTTGCCACAAATTTCACAACTTTTGGGTGTACTATAGGTATGTATTTAGAAATATATAAGTTTGTTTATCAGCAGTCTGGTTACCATAGTACAGGCTCTGCACAGTTTGGAATCAGGCGGCCGTGTGTGAGATGAGTGAAATATTATTATTAAATGCTGAAGGTGCTTTTAAAATAATTGTACGTTAATAAAACGAATACTTACTTTGGTATTCTTCTTAGTCGTCTGCACTTCATCTTCCGCACTGCAAACAAATTTCAAAAGTTATTATACGTCCGTTACAATCCGTGTGGTGACAGATTAATACTGGATTGTCACCACCCCTATTTATCCCGTGGGTGTCGTAAGGCCGACTAAGGTAGCAAACTACGCAGGACAACAGCAAAGAGAAGGAAATTTTGAAACAAACCCTTTTTTTTTTTTTTTAACGTGTGGAAATCCCCTCGGACCGTCACCGCACCGGGGTTTGCGGCGGGGTGGTGTGTCGGACTCGGACCGACTAAAACCACACGGTGTGCCCTCTTTGCGCTTCCAGTTTAGGAGGGGTCCAGGTAGTTATCGCCTTCTGGACCCCTCCTAGCGCCGGCCCGCTCCTATTGCGGGCCCCGTCTCAAAATTTTTTTTTTTTTTCCTCTCTTTAGGCGACGTCCGGCACACGCGGACGCCGCCCCCTCGCGGCTGGCCAAACTAATGCGGGTGGAGGGGAAACCCACCCCGTCCACCCGCGGCCACACTCAGGGCGGCTTTGAAACAAACCCTATACCAACCCGTCTGGCCAAAACCTCCTTTCTAAGGAGAGGCCTGTCTGTTGATGATGATGACTAATTGATTGCATACCTCTCTCACCCCACCCCCTGCCCTACCAATTAGGCGATGTCGAGTTGCAGGTGTCCATGGGCGGTTAAAGTATCTCTATCAGGAAGATCTGTTTCTTTAAAGGCGAATTATGATTAAAATATATTTAGGTACGTACATATTATCTTGTTTCTTTTCCTTAACTTCTATTGTCACTCTGTTTAGCAATACTTCTCCTTCTCCTCTCTGTTGGTGTCCATTGTTTCTTTCTGTGATATTTCCTGAATCGTCGCACATACGTCTATTTGCTGTACTATCTGACAGAGTCGTGTCTAAAACACCTAAATTAATTTGCTGTGTCAGTAAAGTTTATTATTTTATATGTGAAAACGTTAAGTTGATTTGTGTATGCTACAAAAACTCAAAAAGTTCTACACCAACTGAGCTCAAATTTTGACACAATACATAAACCGCTTCAAAGATTGCTTTTATCTTTCTTTTTTCTTTTGTTTCTTTTCTTTTTTTATCTTTTTTATGTATTTACCTATTTTATCATAGGTTTGTTTGTTTTATTGTAAGTCTTGCATTATTGTATTGGTCTATCTGTGATGATAGTGTACAGTATGGTATAAATAAATCTATTTTTCGCATCAGTTCTGTTCCTCATTTCGCATCAATGTAACTACAGACTGCCACAGCGAAGCGTGGCAGGGTACAGCTAGTTAGTTATGTTTCCGCGAACAAAATCCAAAAAACCTCACTCACAGACTCAAAAGTAACGAAGATTTCTTTTTTTACCATCGGGGTCTGTGGCGGGGTGGTGTGTCGGAATCGAACCGACTAAAACCACACGGTGTGCCACTCTGCGCCTGTAATAGGAGAGATCTGGGCACTGCTATTCTTAAGACATCCGGCCCCTCCCTGCCGCAGAACAGTAAATAAATTTCAAACTAACTTAGTTTGAAATTTATTTACTGTTAAATAGACAAAATATGGTCTTTATGCATCGTCTGAAAATTGCAAAAAAAGCTTATTGGCAACAACGCGTGCGTAAGTATCAACCCTAATCTACGTAGGAAAAAATCGAATGATAAATCAGTTCAGTTCATTTCGTCATGTCTAGCACTGATCCCATAAAAAACAAAGTAATTTATTACAGTTTTTGTGGCTATATAATAATAGCTTCACACATCTCACAGGCGGCACTCTGATCCCAAACTAGTCAGAGTCTGCGTTATGGTAGACGGCTGATAAACATATTTAAATATTTCTCAATAAATACATATTTATTTGGAACTATTTAAAGAGAGCAGAAGCTAGTTATAGATAAATTATAGCAGATACAGAAGAAATGATCATGCTCATAACATAAATATTCCCACAATCGAACCCGCGACCTCCGGTTTAGTGGCAGTCATGGTCACTAAACACTAGACCAACAGGCCCGTCGTCGATATATTAGGTACTAAACTATAATTTAAGCTGATTCCGTGCCAAACTAAAAAAAAAGTGATGTATTTAACTAGTAACCGCCATGTAAATAATAATGTAATTACAATGTCATCACTGTAACTATGTCGTCATGGATTTACTAAATCAATAATGTATGGATTTACCTTAACCTTAACGAAGTCAGATAAAACCTATTGTCGACAGTGCGTCACAGCTTACATTAATCTAGTTTCGGTTCAAAGAGGAAAATATTATCTGGACCGGATTATGATGACGTAACGATATAATAAGGAAGGGATTTTAGAACAGATAAAAATTAGGTTACTGATTTATTTTATTTCTGCCAGATTAGAACATTGTAATTAAGATTAGAATAATTTATGTAATTAATATATTAGAAGTATAATATAAAATTTACAGAAACAAGAGAATTTAACTTAAAGTACAATGCAAATCTCAAGTTTCTGATTTCTTATGGTTTAGCAGTGTAGTGTCTTCGCAAACAGACTATTGGGAGAAACATTCTTCGGCACATATGGTTAACTCGATACGATACCATGGCCTCACAGGAAATCAGCAGTGCTATTCTCTAAGGAAACAGACTTACGTACAGCGCTGTGACAGCTTCGTACTTTAAACGAAGTTATTTCATTGTTAATTAATCGTATTCTTCTTTACTACACTTAGGGAGTGTCCTTTTTCTCAAATTTGAATTGCATTAAAAGAAAACTATACTCTATTAAATAAAACATGAATGACCCTAAGAATTTAAAAACATATGTCGGGCTTGAGAACCTGCTTTTTTAAATTGGTTGAAAATAATCTCTACGAAAGTCTGTTAGGAAACAATAAATTCGAAAGTCTAGCGTGGATGTAAATTCATAAGAAGGAAGAAAAATAATACAATAAAATTTGGGTTTATTAAATAATTTAATATTTTATTTAACTATTTTTGTTAATTTTACATTATTATATCTAGAAACTAATAATAAGAATAATTTATTATCAAAAAACTACTTATACGGCACATTTTCGTGATCATAGCAGGCCTTAATATAAGGCGTTTTTTAGCCACAAATTTGGATTGTGCGTCACTTGCTTACTGGTAATAATCTACCGAGGTAACCAGTATTATTCCTCTCCAAAATAAAGGCCGGATCGTCTGACCGGCGAGGTGATTATGCCTGGCAGACTGAGGCTCAACATTTGTCGTAGTGTTCTTCTCGCCAGTGGGAAACTATTGAGAGCGCCGGGCTTCTTTTAGTGGTACTCCTGGCGACTCACCACTGTGATTAGGCCATTGGGTATTTTTCTGGCAGGTCCGCCGGGCATACCTCTAAATCCGGTTAGCCGCCTACGACTGATCGGTGGCTCGTCATCTCTGTCCGTTGTTGCTGCACTGTTGCCAACGTTTGTTGTTGGGAAGTTAAATTTATACTTTCCTTGCGCGTTGCAGGATTAGTACCCCGTAGTTCGTTGTGTTTCCAATAGATCGTATTGAAGTATTTCGTTGTTTGTGCAAGGTACCACAAATCCAATATTTTAATTTTGTTCCAATATTTTTGAGATTCTACCATTAAGATTTTTTTACCATTCTGATGATGAGAGTAAGTCATATCTAGCTTTACAAAATACCGGCATTTCAGCCGATATTAACTCCATGCCAAGTTTATTCAGTGTGAGGACCTGGAAGTCTAAGGTTGTCATGACATTGCTGCACGTCATATTGACTTTACCCAAGGTCACATTCCTGAAGTGTAAGGTTTTGTAAACGCGTCCCACCTTTCTGAAATGAAATAAAAAATTTGGTAACATTTTATACAACATCTAAATAATAAAATATTATTATTATTTAGGCCAGCTTGTCGAAATGATATCATGGCCTCTCAGAAAACCGATGTTGAACAATTCTTTCAGAGTGAGGTAGATTAAATTAGTTCTACTCCAAGATCTAGGCTCCGCTGTTATAGGCGCAGAATTGCACCATAGGAGGCAAGCCTCTTGCCGTCAAACGGGCACTTTAGGCATTAGATGGGAAAGTTAGGAGATAGTGAAAAAAAAAGGCAGATAAGTGTGCAATGGGAAGAAAAAGGATGTTACTTCAAGTGATAAATTAGGAAATGTAAGCAATAGAATCAGCTTATTCTATGAACGTGTGAAAGCCCTCTAACAAAACACGGAATAATGATGATGAAATGCTGTACTCACTTGCACCATCTGATATCATACTTCTGCCAGAAATCGTGTTGCTCCGACTGAACAACCACACGCGCTTGGTTATTCTGATCTAAGATATAATAAATCGGCTCGAACTGCAAAGAAAAATATACATTATGTCAAAGTCGTAAGAGTGAAAGTATATCTTAAACTCTACAGATAGGCAGTACTGCTTCTTTTATTTAGTTAGTCAGTATAACTTGAACAGGATTAACGGTTTTACTCACGAGTGTATTTCGGGGATGACCATCGAGTTTTTGACTCGATATGGGATCAAGGTGTGAATTGTTATCTAGTGCATTGCCTGTTCTGTTCTATCTGCTGTTTAGGATTTCGGATTTGATTGTGGAAGGAAATTTACGCGAAACGCGTAACTATGTTCAGTTTTATAAAGATATTTAAAGATTATAAAGCCTAGAGGCCTTATAATCTGTGTGCTGCGAAATAGTACTGTAAATCATTTAAACTACTTACTTTAATCTCGGTCGTGTTACATTCAGGCTCTGAGGGAGAATTTGAGACACGGGATTGGTAATCATCAATTTCTTCGCCTATCCTTTGTTGAATCTGTAATCAAATCGATAACTGTAGTATCTTAGGACATAATTATATTAAAATATTTTGGAACTATTTACTCGGGATTTTAGTATTTTCCCGGGTTTTTACTTTATGTTAATCTGATAGGGAATTTTTTACCGAAATTTACCGGTTAGATTTTTGGGATTCAGTGAGATGAGTAAAGTTATAATATTATGTTTATTATTATTGTTATATGGTTTTGAATAGTATAATTAGTACGCTGTTACTGACAAACGGTGTAAATTAAAAGATGTTGTGACAAGACTGGAGATAAAGATGCTGCGATGGATTGAGCATGTTGAAAGGAAAAGCGAAGAGCAAATGACTTAAAGAGTTTATAAGACCCATATAAGTGAGCAAGTCTGTGCGGGTAGGCCCCAAGAGACATACCGACCAGATCGACATAATACTGAAGAAGGTAATCGTTAAAAGCATAGTTAACAGGCGAGCATGTATGAATAAAACTGATGAATCTGTGTGTCGGGATGGTGGCAAATGGCGTTTATTGCCTCTGCCTATCCTGGACAGGAATGCGGCATGAGTATCTGTATAATTATATTATTAGAAAAAATAAACACATACTTTCCGAACTTTTCGAAGGACCATGTTGACGACTTCTGTTGGGTAGTGCTGACCCTTGTCCTTGCAATAACTTAGTCCTTCACAGCTCTCAGGCATTTCATCTACGGAATTCAAATAAAATTAATATATAATCAATATTTATAATTCTATCTAAAGTAGGCCAAAATCCCCTTTCTAAGGAGAAGCCCATGTCTAGCAGTGGACTACTAAGGGCTGATGATGATTTAAAATTCTCAAGCGTCATAAATCAACAGTAGCATCTTGAAAATACATCATTTTGTATTTCTTCTGTACCATAAAATAGTTTCTGGCAACAGATAATTCACCCAATTTGACACCTTAACCGGCTCGATCCATTGCCATCCGTAAGTATATGCAATATCCGTTTTCTATAATTAATTTTCTTTTATCTACCTTTCCTTTCATCTCATACTGAAACAGCCTGGTTAACAGGCTTGCTCCATTTAAGTAAGTGGCTGCTAATATTTATTCAAGTTGGCGAAATTATGGCATTCGTAACACCTCTGACTAACCCCTCCAGATAAAGGCGTCAGTAAAAAGCATGTAATATATTATATACTGGGTATAAACTTACATGCTCTGCTAGTGTATCCGACTAGTGCCCTCATTCCAAGACAAGTTAAAGCTATGTTCATGACCTGGAAAAAAATGCTTTATTAAGAAAAAAATGAGTTTTGAATTTCATATAACATACCTTGTTACATAACTTTAAAATCCCTACGTATGTATTTTATTTTTAAATTTCAATTGTTTCATTATTTAGGCGTCGTCGCGTCGATCTCTAGAACCAACAGTTTTATTTTTAAAAATATTTTTGCATCTGACAAAAAACTATAGTTGAATTTGGAACTACTAGAAACTATTTTTAAAATTTAGTTTCTTTACCCTCATCACTGTTTTTTTTACATCACTAATAGTCGTTTCTATGTTTCCTTGCCCCGCACTATAAACAAAAAAAACTCACCAAAAATATCAACATTGTTATTTTATCCATCTTTCGTTACTTTTTGATTTAAAAAAATTAATTTAATTTAAAATAAAATACTAATAATAATATTTATTAAATAGGCAACGCACTGGACGTGCTAGTTAAACAACTGATGCAGTCTGAACATGTTCTAACTCTTATATACAGAACTGATTTCCTCTTATATTATTATTGTTCTAAACGTTCCTGTGGGCATTTATTTGAGGTTAATACGAGTAATATTACGTCATAATATGTGTCAATTGCGCAATCGCTACCATTGTATGTGTTTTTCCTTCCTTACATAATATTACAAAATATATGTGGAATACCAACTCTTAGATAACAAATGTCTTTTTATACTTAATTATTTATCCGTGTGGTGAAGGATTAAGAATGCGGAGTGTCACCGTGGGCGTTGTAAGTGCCGACTAAGAGAGCAAATTAAGCTGGACAGCTGATGAACCGCAAAGAGGAGGAAAACTGGACACACACGTCACAAACCCCATAAAAACCCGTCTGGCCAGCACGGTATAGTAGGCCAAAACGTCCTTTCTAAGGAGAGGCCTATGTCAGGCAGTGGACTATTAAAGGCTGTTGCTGATGATGATGAAGCTACACTCGTGTTTATATTTAGAGGAGTGTTCCGTACTTAATTATTTTATTAATAATACTATAATTATAAATTAAAGTTAGATTATTTGGTTCTTATTTTGGCTCCTAGTTTCAATGTTCCCCATTTTCTGATCCCAATGTTTTAGATGTTTTTAGTTATTATGTAGTTAAAGGTATATATAATTAAAAATTATCCGGACAAGTGCGAGTCGGACTCGCCTACCGAGGGTTCCGTACACATTTGTAGGTACATATTATAAATAGTTCAGGAATCGAATCTCGCAGTTTTTGTCGAGTTTTGCCGGAAATTCAGTTTCTAAAATCTATTATTATTTATATTCCTGAGTTTAATAAGAGAAATTGTACCTCGATGATTGATTACGTACTAGATTATCACATAGATAAGACTATATTTTTTATGATTTATTTACAAATGTAAAGTTTTCAGATTTTTCCCAGTACCAGTAGTATAAGACGATATTACTTGCCAAAATTTCAGAGTTATAGGTCAACTGGAAGTACCCTACGAATTTTGATTCCCTTGACAGTGTCGAATTATGCGTTTTTTGCGGCATAAACAGCCGTATCTTATTTTTACGTTAACTAAGGAGTTGCAGGAGTTACTTACAGAGTATATGGTTTTAATTTCAACTCGATACTCCACGCGTTCCCGAGATAAAAAGTCTTGACAAAGAGACAGACTGACAACAAAGTGATCTTATAAGGGTTCCGTTTTTTTTCTTTTGCACAGAACCCTATAAACAATACTAGATTTACTAAAACAGTAAATATTATTTACTAGGAATAAATCAGTGTAATTTATGTTTAAAAATTATTAATCATAAATAAATTATCTGATCCCAAGAACTTAAAAGTAATAAAACCAATTTTATATTAAAAATAAAACAGTAAATCTTATATTTATTATTATTAAATAGGTATGGCAGCTACATATAATAAAACATTTACTGGATTTACTGTTAAATAGACAAAAAAGGGTCTTTATGCATCGTCTGAAAATAGCTTATTGGCAACAACGCGTGCGTAAGTATCAACCCTAACCTACGTAGGAAAAAATCGAATGATAAATCACAGTTCAGTTAATTTTGTCCCATGTCTAACACTGATCCCATAAAAATCGAAGTAATTTATGACAGTTTTTGTGGCTATATAATAATAGCTTCACACATCTCACAGGCGGCACTCTGATTCCAAACTAGACAGAGCCTGCGTTATGGTAGACTGATGCTAAACATATTTAAATATTTCTCAATAAATACATATTTATTTAGAACTATTTAAAGAGAGCAGAAGCTAGTTGTAGTTAAATTATAGCAGATACAGAAGAAATGATCATGCTCATAACATAAATATTCCCACAATCGAACCCGCGACCTCCGGTTTAGTGGCAGTCATGGTCACTAAACACTAGACCAACAGGCCCGTCGTCGATATATTACTACACTATAATTTAAGCTGATTCCAAGCCGCGAAATTCTACGCTACAGCGCTGTAGCGTAGAATTTCAAGTTAACTTAGTTGTTTCTGTAAATTTTATTTTATACTTCTAATATATTTATTACATAAATTATTCTATTCTTATTTAAAATGTTCTAATCTGGCAGAAATAAAAAAAAATCAGTAACCTAATTTTTTATCTGTTCTAAAATCCCTTCCTAATTATATCGTTACGTCATCATAATCCGGTCCCGATAATATTTTCCTCTTTGAACCGAAACTAGATTAATGTAAGCTGTGACGCACTGTCGACAATAGGTTTTATCTGACTTCGTTAAGGTTAAGGTAAATCCATACATTATTGATTTAGTAAATCCATGACGACATAGTTACAGTGATGACATTGTAATTACATTATTATTTATATGGCGGTTACTAGTTAAATACATCACTTTTTTTATTTTAATTTGGCACGGAATCAGCTTAAATTATAGTATAGTAATATATCGACGACGGGCCTGTTGGTCTAGTGTTTAGTGACCATGACTGCCACTAAACCGGAGGTCGCGGGTTCGATTGTGGGAATATTTATGTTATGAGCATGATCATTTCTTCTGTATCTGCTATAATTTAACTACAACTAGCTTCTGCTCTCTTTAAATAGTTCTAAATAAATATGTATTTATTGAGAAATATTTAAATATGTTTAGCATCAGTCTACCATAACGCAGGCTCTGTCTAGTTTGGAATCAGAGTGCCGCCTGTGAGATGTGTAAAGCTATTATTATATAGCCACAAAAACTGTAATAAATTACTTTGTTTTTTATGGGATCAGTGCTAGACATGGGACAAAATGAACTGAACTGATTTATCATTCGATTTTTTCTTACGTAGGTTAGGGTTGATACTTACGCACGCGTTGTTGGCAATAAGCTATTTTCAGACGATGCATAAAGACCCTATTTTGTCTATTTAACAGTAAATTCAGTAAATGTTTTATTTATATATATCTGCCATACCTATTTAATTAAAATAAATACTAGATTTACTGTTTTAGTTTTTAATATATAATTGGTTTTATTACTTTTAAGTTCTTAATATTACAATTAGATAATTTATTAATTACTAACAATTTTTAAACATAATTTACACTGTTTGATTCCTAGTAAATAATATTTACTGTTTTAGTGAATCTGGTATTTTTTTAGGGTTCTGTACATAATGAAAAAACGGAACCCTTATAGGATCACTTTGTTGTCAGTCTGTCTCTTTGTCAAGACTCTTTATCTCGGGAACGCGTGGAGGTATCGAGTTGGAATTAAAACCATATACTCTGTAAGTAACTCCTGTCGCTCCTTTTTTTTACGTGTGGAAACCCCCCCGGGCCGTCACCCCCCCGGGGTTTGCGGCGAGGTGGTGTTTCGGAATCGGACCGACTAAAATCACACGGTGTGCCACTCTGCGCCTGTAATAGGAGGGATCCGGGAACTGCGGTTATTAGGACATTTGGACCCCTCCTAGCGCCTGCCCGCAACGGCGCGGGCACCACCTTCGGGTAAATTCTCCATTTAGGAGACGTCCGGCACACGCGGACATCGCCTCCTCGCGGCTGGCCGTTATGGCGGGTGGAGAGGAAAACCCGTCCCGTCCATCCGCGGCCACGCTCAGGGCGGCATGAGGCCGTGGTAGCCGCGCCTCCGCCGCCCGGTTCGACGGTGACGGATTGGGTTCGAGTGGAGGTTGTCCTCCCGGGCCCTCTCCGCCGCCTCCTTCTGCGAGATGACGTCTTCGCAGAAGGATGCGACCGCGGTGAAACATCTGTCACTACCGGCCATGGAGCGTATGACGGCCGGCAGTGAGAGATCCCCCCCGATGACTGCAATGAGAACCCAGCGCTGCGGCGCCCAAGCCAGGCAAATTGCCAGCGTGTGCTGAGCCGAGTCCTCAATGCAATCGCAGTGGTGACAGGCGGGACTCAATTCCCTCCTGGCGACCGAGTGCAGGTACTTGCCGAAGCAGCCGTGCCCAGAAAGGACCTGGGTCAGCCGGAAAGAAAGGGTCCCGTGCTGCCGCCCTGTCCACTCGACGATCACCGGCTGGAGCGCCTCCACGGTGGCAAAGCCAGCACGTGGAGCCTCCAGCCGGGACAACCAACGAGCCATCGTGGCTCGACGAGCGGCCTCACGCCATTCGCGTATCTCTTCGGGCGGGGGCCGACTGCCACTATCCACCCGGTACACAGTCGTCCGCCGATATACTTCGGCGAGCACTTCCGCCTCCAAATCCCAAGGGGGAGTACCGGCCAATGCGCACGCCGCCTCCGTCGAAACGGTGCGGTGACCGCGTATGGCTCTAACCACCAATATCCTCTGAGGGCGCCAGAGGCGTGCCCTATTCTGGGCGGTCAGAGCCGTCGCCCACACCGGTGCACCATACAGTGCCATTGACCGGACAACCCCCGTGTACAGCCGTCTCGTTGCGACGCTGGGTCCACCCAAATTGGGTAAAAGTCGTCCAAGGGCAGACGCAGCGCCGATCAGCTTTGGAGCAAGCTGTCGGAAGTGGTCGTCGAAGAGCCCCTTCCGTCGAGGATGAGGCCCAGACATTTCATTTGGGCCTGAACCGGTACGAAGACCGAGTTGACAATGATTGTGGCGCGGGGGGGTGGACCACGACGGGGCCCATGGGATAATAGGGCCGTCGTCTTATCCAGAGCCACCCGTAAGCCCATCGCCTCAATGCGCCCGACCACCAGAGAAATTCCCCTGCTGGCCAGGCGCGCTGCCTCTTGAAAGTTCGCCCCCGGGCTGTAACCAATGTATCCTCGGCGTAACAAATTACACCCAGCCCAGGGGGAAAATCTACTCGAAGGGCCCTGTCGTACCCTATGTTCCACAGGACTTGTCCAAGAACAGACCCCTGTGGAACACCGCACGACATGGGCCGACACCTCAGGTTACCATCTCGAAATCCTGTAGCTCCTAAGTTAATGTAAAAATAAGATACGGCCGTTTATGCCGCAAAAAACGCATATTTCGACACTCTCAAGGTAATAAAAACTCGTAGGGTACTTCCAGGTGACCTATAACTCTGAAATTTTGGCAATTAACATTGTCTTATACTGCTAGTACTGGGAAAAATCTGAAAACGTTACATTTGTAAATTTTTCAGTTTTTTCGTAATCGTAATCAATCATAGAGGTACAATTTATCTTATTAAACTCAGGAATATAAATAATAACAGATTTTAGAAACTGGATTTCGGGCAAAACTCGGCAAAAACTGCGAGATTCGATTCCTGAACTATTTATAATATGTACCTACAAATGTGTAAGGAACCCTCGGTAGGCGACACGCACTTGTCCGGATTTTTTTAAATTATATATACCTTTAACTACATAATAACTAAAAACATCTAAAACATTGGGATCAGAAAATGGAGAACATTGAAACTAGGAGCCAAAATAAGAACCAAATAATCTAACTTTAATTTATAATTATATTATTATTAATAAAATAATTAAGTACGGAACACTCCTCTAAATATAAACACGAGTGTATCTTCATCATCATCAGCAACAGCCTTTAATAGTCCACTGCCTGACATAGGCCTCTCCTTAGAAAGGACGTTTTGGCCTACTATACCGTGCTGGCCAGACGGGTTTTTATGGGGTTTGTGTCAAGTTTTCCTCCTCTTTGCAGTTCATCAGCTGTCCAGCTTAATTTGCTCCCTTAATCGGCACTTACAACGCCCCCGGTGACACTCCGCATTCTTAATCCTTCACCACACGGATAAATAATTAAATATAAAAAGACATTTGTTATCTAAGAGTTGGTACTCCACATATATTTTGTAATATTACGTAAAGAAGGAAAAACACATACAATGGTGGCGATTGCGCAATTGACACATATTATGACGTAATACTCGTATTACTCGTATTAATCTCAAATAAATGCCCACAGGAACGTTTAAAACAATAATAATATAAGAGGAAATCAGTTCTGTATATAAGAGTTAGAACATGTTCAGACTGCATCAGTTGTTTAACTAGCACGTCCAGTGCGTTGCCTATTTAATAAATATTATTATTAGTATTTTATTTTAAATTTAATTTATTTTTTTTAAATTAAAAAGGAACGAAAGATGGATAAAATAACAATGTCGATATTTTTGGTGAGTTTTTTTTTGTTTATAGTGCGGGGCAAGGAAACATAGACACGACTATTAGAGTGATGTAAAAAAAAACAGTGATGAGGGTAAAAAAACTAAATTTTAAAAATAGTTTCTAGTAGTTCCAAATTCAACTATAGTTTTTTGTCAGATGCAAAAATATTTTTTAAATCAAACTGTTAGTTCCATAGATCGACGCCAAAATAATAAAACAATTGAAATTAAAAAATAAAACACATACATAGGGATTTAAAATTATGTAAAGAAGGTATGTTATATGAAATTCAAAACACTATTATTTTCTTAATAAAGCATTTTTTTCCAGGTCATGAACATAGCTTTAACTTGTCATGGAATGAGGGCACAAGTCGGATACAGTAGCAGAGCATGTAAGTTTATACCCAGTATATAATATATTACATGCTTTATACTGACGCCTTTATCTGGAGGGGTTAGTCAGAGGTGTTACGAATGGCAAAATTTCGCCAACTTGAATAAATATTAGCAGCCACTTACTTAAATGGAGCAAGCCTGTTAACCAGGCTGTTTCAGAATGAGATGAAAGGAAAGGTAGATAAAAGAAAATTAATTATAGAAAACGGATATTGCGGACGGACGGATATAACGGATATAAAAACGGATATTATACTTACGGATGGCAATGGATCGAGCCGGTTAAGGTGTCAAATTGGGTGAATTATCCGTTGCCAGAAAGTATTTTATGGTACAGAAAAATACAAAATGATGTATTTTCAAGATGCTACTGCTTATTTATGACGCTTGAGAATTTTAAATCATCATCAGCCCTTAGTAGTCCACTGCTAGACATAGGCTTCTCCTTAGAAAGAAGATTTTGGCCTACTTTAGATAGAATTATAAATATTGATTATATATTAATTTTATTTGAATTCCGTAGATGAAATGCCTGAGAGCTGTGAAGGACTAAGTTATTGCAAGGACAAGGGTCAGCACTATCCAACAGAAGTCGTCAACATGGTCCTTCGAAAAGTTCGGAAAGTATGTGTTTATTTTTCTCTAATAATATAATTATACAGATACTCATGCCGCATTCCTGTACGGGATAGGCAGAGGCAATAAACGCCATTTGCCACCATCCCGACATACAGCTGGCACCTCTTCTACATTCATCAGTTTTATTCATACATGCTCGCCGGTTAACTATGCTTTTAACGAGGAACTTCTTCAGTATTATGTCGATCTGGTCAGTATGTCTCTTGGGGCCTACTCGCACAGACTTGCCAACTTATATGGGTCTTATAAACTCTTTTAGTCATTTGCTCTTCGCTTTTCCTTTCAACATGCTCAATCCATCGCAGCATCTTTATCTCTATTCTTGTCACAACATCTTTTAATTTACACCGTTTGTCAGTAACAGCGTACTAATTATACCATCCAAAACCATATAACAATAATAATAAACATAATAATTTTACTCATCTCACTCAATCCCAAAAATCTAACCGGTAAATTTCTGTAAAAAATTCCCTATCGGATTAACATGGAGTAAAAACCCGGGAAAATACTCATATCCCGAGTAAATAGTTCCAAAATATTTTAATATATATCCTAAGATACTACAGTCAACGATTTTATTACAGATTCAACAAAGGATTGGTGAAGAAATTGATAATTACCAATCCCGTGTCTCAGATTCTCCCTCAGAGCCTGAATGTAACACGAACGAGATTAAAGTAAGTAGTTTAAATGATTTACCGTACTATTTCGCAGCACACAGATTATAAGGCCTCTAGGCTTTATAATCTTTAGATTTTTTTATAAAACTGATCATAGTTACGCATTTCGCTGAAATATCCTTCCACAATCAAAACCGAAGTCCTAAACAGCAGATAGAAGAGAACAGGCAATGCACTAGATAACAATTCACACCTTGATCCCCAATCGAGTCAAAAAATCGATGGTCGTCCCCGAAATACAATCGTGAGTAAAACCGTTAATCCTGTTCAAGTTATACTGACTAACTAAATAAAAGAAGCAGTACTAAATGACCGAAATTCGATGATCAGCCTATCTGTAGAGTTTAAGATATAATTTCACGTTTACGACTTTGACATAATGTATATTTTTCTTTGCAGTTCGCGCCGATTTATTATATTTTAGATCAGAATAACCAGACGCGTGTGGTTGTTCAGTCGGAGCAACACGATTTCTGGCAGAAATATGATATCAGATGGTGCAAGTGAGTACAGCATTTTATCATCATTATTTTTTCTCCGTATTTTGTTAGAGGGCTTTCACACGTTCATAGAATAAGCAATAATAAGAATAAGCAAGAATAATAAATTATATTGCTTACATTTCCTAATTTATCACTTTAACTAACATCCTTTTTCCCCCATTGCACACTTTTATCTGCCTTTCTTTTCACTATCTCCTAACTTTCCCATCTAATGCCTGAAGTGCCTGTTTGACGGCAAGGGGCTTGCCTCCTATGGTGCAATTCTGCGCCTATAACAGCGGAGCCTAGATCTTGGAGTAGAACTAATGTAATCTCCCTCACTCTGAAAGAATTGTTCAACATCGGTTTTCTGAGAGGCCATGATATCCTTTCGACAAGCTGGCCTAGATAATAATAATATTTTATTATTTAGATGTTGTATAAAATGTTACTTAATTTTTATTTAATTACAGAAAGGTGGGACGCGTTTACAAAACCTTACACTTCAAGAACGTGACCTTGGGTAAAGTCAATATGACGTGCAGCAATGTCATGACAACCTTAGTCTTCCAGGTCCTCACACTGAATAAACTTGGCATGGAGTTAATATCGGCTGAAATGCCGGTATTTTGTAAAGCTAGATATGACTTACTCTCATCATCAGAACGGTAAAAAAATCTTAATGGTAGAATCTCAAAAATATTGGAAGAAAATTAAAATTTTGGATTTGTGGTGCACAAACAACGAAATACTTCAATGCTATCTATCGAAGACACAACGAACTACGGAGTACTAATCCTGCAACGCGCAAGGAAAGTATAAAAAGTATAAATTTAACTTCCCAACAACAAACGTTGGCAACAGTGCAGCAACAACGGACAGAGATGACGAGCCACCGATCAGTCGTAGCCGGCTAACCGGATTTAGAGGTATGCCCGGCGGACTAGCCAGAAACATACCCAATGGCCGAATCACAGTGGTGAGTCGCCAGGAGTACCACTAAAAGAAGCCCGGCGCTCTCAATAGTTTCCCACCGGCGAGAAGAACACTACGACAAATGTTGAGCCTCAGTCTGCCAGGCATAATCACCTCGCCGGTCAGACGATCCGGCCTTTATTTTGGAGAGGAATAATACTGGTTACCTCGGTAGATTATTACCAATAAGCAAGTGATGCACAATCCAAATTTGTGGCTAGAAAACGCCTTATTTCAAGGCCTGCTATGATCACGAAAATGTGCTGTATAAGTAGTTTTTTCATAATTAATTATTGTTATTATTAGTTTCTAGATATAATAATGTAAAATTAACTAAAATAGTTAAATTAAAAAATTAAATTATTTAATAAACCCAAATTTGATTGTATAATTTTTCTTCCTTCTTATGAATTTACATCCATCTAATCCCACGCTAGACTTTCGAATTTATTGTTTCCTAACAGACTTTTGGTTTTATTCTACGGTAGAGATTATTTTCAACAAACTTAAAAAAGCAGGTTCTCAAGCCAGATGTATTTTTTTTATTCTTAGGGTCATTCATGTTTCATTTGATAGAGTATAGTTTTCTTTTGATCCAATTCATATTTGAGAAAAAGGACACTCCCTATGTGTGGAAAATTGATAAGTGAATAATGCAATTTGTTACGATTGTCATGGTAACTTCGAAGTTAAAAACAATCTACGAAGTTGGTAAAGATATCACACAGGTAAAGATATCAATCTTTAACTTTCCTGTTTATCTAGATTCACTATTTAAAATACTCCCAAATTTGCCAGCTTACGAGTATTTGCCTAATTTACTAAGTTGACGGCTTGCCCAATATTATGCAAATGGGTCCAAATGGTAGTTGGCAAAAAGTGGGAGCGCGTATCGGCAAAAACACATCTAGGCGTACTTAGGTGGGTGGAGGTGTGTTTGCCAATACGCGCACACGGGTGACGAGACGCCAAATAGGCTAATGTAAATATGTATAATAGATGCACGTACTCACCATGTTCCTTCTCGTAGTGTGTTTTAAACTGGTCAAGAGCAGGGTCATACTTGATCTCATCTGGTAACTCAAGCCAGAGTTGCAGCGTGCCAACCGTCAGGTCTCCATTAGACACTAGAGAGTACTGACTGTGGGACAGATCTTCGACCCGGTCAGGAACGCCTCGCCACTTCTTCACCTGACTTACAAGTTTCTCCATTCCATGTACTTGAATACTCACTTCATTATACTAACGCATAGCATTACCTTTCTTGGGTTTATTCAACTTGCGGTCGAACTTCTGTAAGATAAATAAATTAAGTTTGATACAGAATAATAATGCAGGGTGTCCAAAGGCTCCCTTGAGTCCCACCAACTATGATAATGAAGAAAATTGAAAAATCTTTTTTTTTGGCTTAGGGGGCAAACGAGCAGTCGTGTCGTCTGATGTTAAGTGACTACGCAACGCTTGAACACCTGCAAAACAAGAATCACAAGTGCATGGCCTGACCCTAGCTCCGAGTTCAGAGCAAGCAAGTAATGCTTGCGTAGGATATGGCGGAGCGGGAGAGGTTTAGAACTCTCGCGGCCCGCCAGGCCCGGGAGCGGGCCAGGTACCGCAGACGACTATATTATATATCCAGATATTTGTTTCATCTCTGCCTTTTATACCTATGCTACGGCAATATCAAAAAGAAATCTTTTTTTGTTTCAAAATAGAAATAGGCCATTAGTGAGGGTCCGGATGTTGTCATATCAGCTGTTCCAGGACCCCTCCTATCTCAGGCGCGGAGTAGCACTCTGTGTGGTTTCAGTCGGTTTGACGTCCCGCCGTAAGCCCCGGATGGATGACGGCCTGAGGAGGTTTCCACACGTAAAAAAAAGCCATTTGTCGAGAAATGGGTAACTCCTGGATTGTTATACTTATCTATAAAGTGGATGTATTAATACCCAGAACTAATAGAAAAAGCTATTAATTGACAATGAAGTCCAGCATGCTGAACACTTAATTTAGCAGATCAAACTTACTAGTTTTCAGCCATCTTTAGCCAACACGGAATACTTAAAATGAAGAGTCTAGAGATCTAACTATATTTAAGCTAACTGTCAACCCGACCCGTTAATTTGGCTTATCTCTTAACTCTAGTATACACCCCATTTGTCAAGATCCTTTACCATTTTATTCTTATAAATAAAATAAATTTATAATGTTTCCTGATACTTTTACTGCTATACTTCTTTTTTCTACTGTCCCACAGAACCACAAACAGAAACTTTTGAAATCACAACAATTCCCTCTTGGTATTCCAAATATTTTCAACCTATTAACTAATAAATCTACCTCCCACCCAGACGTTGGCAAAATCATCGACATCCGATATAGCCATTGAATTAAAAGAAGAAGAAGAAGAAGCTAACTGTCATTTCCGTAGTTACTTTCTTGTATGTAATTATTTTTTGGATTACAAAATAAGAACTGAAACAATGTCAATAGTTCTACCATAGCGAAACAGTAATTACGAACAGTTTTAACCCCGACTTATTTTACTTTTCACTTACTATTTACAACAATTAGTTAGAGGGGTCAGTCAATTAGAGTTTCTTGTATGAGACCATGACCTGCTCAATCCTGTATTACCATGGATGCAATCTGCCGACGTCCTGTCATAACTCATAATATCTAAAGGTCCGTGAGCAAGGATGATGGAAGGATCCCTATTGGCTTTGATTGGGCCTTTTTGCTTCTCCTGACGAACTGAATATAGCCACTAAAGATGTATAACAGGCTTTAATACTCGTACACGCACCATGACATCTCTTAGTAACAGTGCTTAAGCTACGATTTTCCATAATTACAACAAATATAGAAATTTCACAAACCTTCAAATATGTGAAGTGCTAATTGCTGTATACATTAAAAATAACATAAAATACCGCGAATTGTCTATGAACACTTTTTTTTTTAACTCACGGCACAAGACAGCATTCATACGCAGAACACGATAAACTGAACTGTCAACGGTCTATATCTTTACTTAATACATATTATATATGGATATACAACTTCGTTTGCTTGTTTTATTGTATATTTGTTTTTACTTGTTCATGTTAACCGAATAAATATACAGCATGAAAGATATTACAACGGGTACACACCTTTGAATTAGCTAAAGGACACTGTGTTGTGAAAATATTATTTATTCAAACACAATCATCAATGGTTAGGAAAATATGACTCTTTATTGTATGCCAGATTATTCAAAGGATATTTTTAATCGTTACAATTATATTTGTAACGTTAATCAGTGAGTAAATTACCATGGCATAGTAACCAGATTGCTGTCAAACATTATTATATTTCTAATACATACATATTAGAGACAGACTATTGAATGCGGCTTCGCTCGTTTCTTATTTCGTGTTTCTTATTTTCCAAAGACGAACTTCCATACAATCGTTCATCCCTTATTTTACCCCTTTAGGGTTTCAAAAATCCTTTCTTAATAGAGACTCAGTTACAACATAAAAAGCTGCCAAAATTTCAAGTTTGTAGCTTCAGCGGTTTAGGCTTTGCGTTGAAAAATCAGTCGGTCAGTCAAGGTAACTAATTTTATATGTAACTAGCTGAGACCCGCGGTGTTACCCGCGTTTGTTGTTATAACCGCGGGCAACACCGCGGGGCGAAGCTAGTCTTAAAAAAGTAGCCTAAGTTACTCCTTATGTCATCAGCTATCTGCCAGTGAAAGTCCCGTCGAAATCGGTCCAGCCGTTCAAGAGATTACCCGGAACAAACAGACAGACAGACAAAAATTGAAAAAAATGTTATTTTGGCATATGTACCGTGTAAACATACATATGCATTTATTAAAAAGCGGTTATTTTAATATTACAAACATACACTCCAATTTTATTTATTTGTATAGCTAATTATATCCAGACACAGAGCAAACGCCCAGGGTGTGAATCGAACCCACGACCTCTGAGATAGTAATCAGCTATACTTACCACTAACAGAACGTTTATATCACATGTTTTCTATTGATATTGGTAGTTATTTTCTACAGCAAAAGAGACAAGCCGTATACTTACGAAAGAAAATTATTCTACATAGACCTTGAAAACTGAAGTAATCTGACAAATAAATGTCATCATATAAAACAAAAGAGTATCTAATCATAGTTGTAACAATACTGATAAATAAGATTATAAAATATGGTCCAGATAAGCTTCATTTTTTTAATAGGATACTTATTGCAGTTTATTCAAGCGACATCATTAAATTATAAGCAGATAAACTGTATAACAAAAGTAAATAGGTTAAGAAGCTTACACGATTGTGTTAAGAGGGTACACACGTTCAAGCATCTATCTATAAAGGGATAAACAGGGATGAAAAACACCTACATTTAACTAACTATATGGTTTTAAACGTAATCATGTATCCATGGACAAGCTCCAGAATTCTTTCAATTTTCAACTAGAAACTTTGGTAATTTAAGTTAGGAAAATTAAGGTAGGTAAAGAAGTGGGCTACTTTAAATGAAAATTCATTGGTTTCCTTTGTTTGCACAAATAAGCTAGGTTATGATCCAGATCTAAACAAATTATTTGTGAGATATATTGATTGCACCGATGGCGTAATGGTTTAAGATACTTTGTGTGATCCACAAATTGTTGTTCTGAGTCGGGGTGTTCTTTGTGTCCGATTCATTTATGTTTGTAAAATCCCCCGCGACACATGATATATTCCTAATGCGGGAGTTGTCTTCTTAAAAATAGAAATAGAAAAATAGGATACATAAGAAATAAACCCTATACCACTCCTCCTAGCCAGCGTGGTGTAGTAGGCTAAAACCTCCTTTCTAAGGAGAGGCTTATGTCTGTCTTAATCATCGTCACCAGCCTATAACAGTGGACTGTCATAGGCTGGTGATAATGATGACGATGATAAGATATTTCAATTGATTGTAACGGCATCAATTCCTTCCAGTTGACCAAGCTTTGTTGCACAGCAATATGCATTTTATAGATCCACTGCCTTCCATACTTACTTTTTCTTTATAAGAAAGTCTCACATGTTACTCAGTTTTCATTTAAAAGTGTTCAATTTGACGACTATAACATACACCTTTACTTTGATGCCTCTCACATAATATGCGCGAACACATTACTGTTTGACTGTTTTGTCACTCTAGTCCCGACCGTGAGTTTATATGCAGGTGCGCGCACGTAGCGACATGAAAACTGGGTGACATTTTTGTCCACACACGTGTCCGTGACAAATTGACAAAACTGTCACCTCGCCGGTAGATTTTTATAGCCAAATGACGCTTAGGGTCTGTTCGCAAAGCGACAGTTCATCAAAACGTGTTGGCAAAATACGCCTTTGCCTTATAATTCAGGAATATAGACCTAAGTGTATCTGTACATATATTCTTAACACAATTCTTAGTAGGTAGAATATACAGAAAAATATAATGTAATTCAAATGATTCGATAAGCAGTCGGCCCTTATTAGTTCTCAACAATGTTTAGCACATACGTCACTTACAAATACTTAGAGTAAAGATTGCCTTAGTTGATTATATTTGTTAGTTTTAGTCTCTGGATGATATCTATGTAGATGTCTATAATATTAATTATCACCTTGTCATTTATGTTATGACAAAATCCGGTAAAGTGCGACCCGCAAATTTGATGTTACACTAGCGGTGAACATTTTGATTTAAGACGGTGATTCGATTCTGTCTGGAAGTTCGAGTGTCTGCTCCGCCACTGATCGACGAATGTATGTTATGGTCCTTCCACATTTTAATTTTTTCCTTTAACTTCCCGAGTGTCATAACGCGGTGTGTTCGTGAGGAGTCACTGCTGTTGATCCTGGTGTACAGGAGTTACAGTAGTGGGCGTGTGGGAGGGATTAGTCAGATGTCCACAAAAGGAGGATCCTCTGACCAGACAGTGATCATGCCTGGCGGACCACGGCTCAACGTTTTATGTTGATAAGTTGTATACTGTGTGACTTTTTTTCTTATTTATTTTTTTACAATTTGCTTACAACAACTTTTGTTAGTTTGTAACTAGAAGTGACTGGTAATTGGCTCTCAGATGATTAATAGTGCCATTCTTACTCATGTTTCTACCTGTAATAATAATGCTAATCGGCGTGAGAACTGCCTCTGTCCACTGAAAAGATCCATTATAAATTTTTGTGCACCT